TCATATTTTTACTTCGGAGGTGAAAGGTGTGGTAGCTTTACATAGAGTCAATGCCAACAAAATTGCGGTTGTTTTTAAACAATACAACACTGCAAATAATTTCATCACAAATACAGACTTTTTAACAGAGCACAACTTGAAGGCGCATATTCCTGCAGCGCAGATAGAAAAAACTGGAATCATCCGATATGTGCCTACCAACATTTCGAACAAGGAATTATATACGAAACTGTCTTCGATTTATGAAATTATTTCAGTGAGAAGATTCACGAAAAAAGTCGGTCAAAGTACTGTAGGTCTCGAGACGGTCAGTATAACTTTCCTATCAAATGTTCTGCCCGACAACATCCAATATGACCTATTTTCGTTCAGGATGTTTGAATATATCCCACCGTTACAACAATGCTTCCGGTGCTTCAAGTTCAACCACCCTGCGAAAATTTGTAATGGTAAACAACGTTGCTCGATATGTGCTGGGGAACATAATTTCAGAGACTGTGATAAAAAAGAAAACCTGTGTTGTGTCAATTGCAGTGGTCCCCACCTGGCCATTTCCAAATCTTGCCCAATAAAAATGAAAAAAATACTTGAAAAAAAGGGTAAAATTACTTATGTCTCTGTAGCTAATACAATTAAGTCATCTGATTTTCCGTCTTTACCTGCACAGTCGAGCAGCAATGTTAAGACCCTACCATCAATAAACCAAAATGTACATAAATTAAATAAAAATGTAAAAATTGTAAATAATGTAAATAAAATAGTGCCTGAACCCAACTTGAACCAAACTCAACTTAAGGCTCAAATTGCAAACAATAAGAATATTTTGATGGCAATGGTCCAAACTTTAGTCGAATTAGGTAATAAAACAGATAATGAACCTGTGACTACACTGTTCATTAAAGACTTACTTTTAAAAAATCTGTCACAATAATGGACAGTACAGTACAGAACATACAGCAGTTATGTATAGCTCAGTACAATATTCAAAGTATACATAGGAAAAAATCCTTATTGTCTAAATTTTTAGATGAGCAAAATGTTGATATCTGTCTACTCAATGAAACTTGGCTGAAAGATACTCAGCATTTTAACATTTCGGGATATAATTTCCACTATCATAATGCCCAAAATGAGCATGGTGGAGTAGCAATTTTGATCAAACCGTATTTTAAATATAATATTATTCAAACCAGATTTTACCAAGACATTCAGACTGTGGCATTATTGTTATATGTAAGTGGTAAACAATCAACGATTTTATGTGTATACTGCCCTCCATCGAATGGTAACTTCAGAATAAGTAAACTGCGTGATATAATTAGAGATTTGCCTAAGCCAATATATGTGGCTGGAGATTTCAACGCTCACCATGTGGCATTTGGGTGTATGACCACGAAAAGTCGGGGTCATCAGTTATACGATTTAATTGATGAATTTGATCTATGTGTCCTCAACAATGGTAGCTTCACTACTATTAATTATCCTAACCGAAATCCATCGGCTATTGATGTCAGCTTTTGTAGTGCTTCAATCACTCCACTATGCGAATGGTGGGTGCATGATGATTGTATGGGGAGCTATCATTTTCCTACGCTTACTCGTGTTTTATTGTCAGTTGATAGATACCAAATTAATCCTCCCATTGAAAAATTCTTATACAACAAGACAGACTGGACAAAATACAATGAGCTGTCTATAACTGCTTTTTCTAATTTGGAAGTTAATAATGAGAATCCATTACAGTCATATGATGAATTTATTGAAAGGCTTGATACACTTAGGAGAGATACTGTGCCAAAGTTTGTCAAAGCAAACAACTATCGTTGCAAACCTCCAGCACCTTGGTGGAGTGACACATGTGAACAGAGTGTTATTAAAACTTATGAAGTTTTAAAACTGTACAGAAGAGATCCAACCATTGATAATTACATTAATTACAAAAGACTTAATGCTGTTAAGAAAAAGACTATTTCAGAACATAAACGCAATGGTTGGGCTAACATCTGTAATACTTTTAACAGAACTACACCTGTTAGTATTATTTGGAAATACATCAAGTTATTTAAACGAATAAAATGCAATAATAGAACATATAAAGACGAATTTGTAGTCCCTCTTTTAGACAAATTATCTCGAAATGGATGTAGGGTTATTGATAATCTAGAAAGTTATTTTCAAATTAATAATAGTCTTCAGAAGTCCAGTTTCCTCATAGAACCCTTTACTTGGAGTGAGTTTTGTACAAGTTTACAATCCAGACGAAACACAACCCCTGGTTTAGATAATTGTCCATACATTTTGATCAAAAACCTAAATCAGTCCGTACAAAAGAAACTATTAGCTAATCTTAATGCTCTTTGGCACTTAAAAAAAATTCCTGAATCTTGGAAAACACAGTGTGTAATCCCTCTACTTAAGCTTGACAAGCCACCTGAAGATCCTAATTCATATCGTCCTATATCTTTGTCATCTTGTGTTGGAAAGCTTAATGAAAACATGATAAAGATGCGTCTTGAGTGTTATGTAGAGGCGAACAACATCATTCCACATGTTCAATATGGCTTCCGGAGAGGCAGAAGTTGTGCTGACAGCTTCATCTCTCTCTTGTCAGATCTGAAATATGCCAATAATAATAATAAGTCCAGTGTTTGTGTTTTTCTGGATATTGAAGGTGCGTTTGATAATGTAGATCCTGGCATTTTGGTTCAAGTTCTTTCTGACATTGGTATACCAGGCATACTTTGCCATTGGTTATTTAATTTTTTAATAGATAGAACTTTGTATATAAGGCATAATAATATTCTCCATGGTCCCAGAAGGGTCTCCAAAGGTACAATGCAGGGGGCTACATTATCTCCATTGTTGTACAACATATACACTAGTCAAATTCTTAATTTTGTAAATATAGAAGGTGAAAATATTTTACAATTTGCGGATGATCTTGTAATATATTGTACAGACCATAATGTAGATAGAGCTGTAAATAGTATAAATAATGCTTTAGAGCAATTGTACATATATTATAATGACAAGTTGGCTCTACAGATTAACCCTAACAAAAGCAAGGCCATGATTTTTAGTAAAGATTTTCCCTCTAATGGCATACTCTACAATAATCATCCAATTTCAGTTGTATCTAACCATAAATTCCTGGGTGTTGTCATTGATAACAAACTTTGTTTTAATTTACACATCAATCACATTATAACTAACTCTCTTAAGGGCTTAAATATTATAAGATGTTTAGCTGGTGTGACTTGGGGTGCAGACCCCAAAGTTTTAAGTATGCTATATAAATCTATAGTCAGAAACCATTTCGACTACAGTTGTTTAGCCTACTCAAATAGTAGTTGTGTAAAAAAACTAGACATAATTCAAAACAAAGCTCTGCGAATTATTTCTGGGGCTATGTGTTCAACTCCCATACGAGCTATGGAAGTTGAAACCAAAATAATGCCACTGTGTCTTAGAAGACTTCTGCTAATAGAGAGATATTTACTAAAGCTGGTATCTGGTAATGATAATGTTCTCAAAAAAATAGTACCTTTTCCTTTACAATGCTCGGTCCAGCAGACTTCGGGAGGTGAGCTTTTACAAGGTTATTTTCCAGTTTTACCTCTCATTGTACAGCAAATGAATGAAGATTTTAAAAATGTAATTAAACAATATAAGTGGACATGCTACACATACTCATATTCCTGTATTATATTTGAGACCAATATTGTTACCAAAAAATTTTTTAATAATTGTGAATTATTAAGTTTTATTTCCGACAATAACTACTATACTTTGTATACAGATGGTAGCAAAAGTGAGCTCTTTGTGCGCAGTGCCGTTTATGATCCACAATGCAAGTTTGGTCAAAGTTTTCTTCTGGACCCTAAATGCAGTGTTTTCACTGCAGAGATATATGCGGCCCTCGAGGCCCTGAAGAGGATTGCACATATAAATAGTTTTAATAATTTTTTAATTTTAACAGACAGTTTAAGTATGGTCCAAAGTTTAACTAATCTCAGATTTGACTTTAAAAAAAACTATATTTTGTATAATATTAAAAAATTGTTATTTAGTTATGCAAAAAAGGGTATACAGGTCTCTTTCATGTGGATTCCATCACATAGGGGCATAACAGGAAATGAGATAGTAGATAAAATTGCACGTGATGGAACCAACATGTTGGATGTTAGCTCCATAGTAAAAGTACCTTTGACCGACTATTATCAATCTATTGACAACCAGGTCAATAGCTTATGGGTCGAGCTTTGGAAACAAGATCAAGAACAGAAGGGTAAATGGTATGGAACTGTTCAAGAAAAACTACCTGTAGCACCATGGTATAACAAACTGAAAATGGCCAGTCGGGACTTTGTTACCACTATAAATAGACTGCGCTTTGGTCACTCCACCGTCCCGGCCCACCTGGCTCGATTGGGCATAGTGGAGAGCAGTTACTGCACCTTCTGCAATAATTCTGTTGGTGATATCGAACATTTCATATTTACATGAAAGTGCTTTTCATTTGACAGATTGATTCTTGTCAGTGAAATTAGTGACATAGTGCAAAATCAAGTGACAGTGCAAGATCCCTCCCGCCGCCTGAGTGATATGTTAAAAAATAGATCCTATTACGTGCCTCTATATAAATTCATCAAAAAAACAGTGGGGAAATTATAATAAACCGAATAAAAATACTCAAGACTTGGCCTAAAGGTCTAGATGCCAGGCCATAAACTCCAAAAAAAAAACACCCGAAAGTTTATAACAAAGAATATTTAATACTAACTACTATGAAAATCTTATCTTATTTTAATTAACTTATACCAGTAGTCTTCATCACAATAATATCAATAATTTTAATGGTACATAATTTAATCCACATTACAACATTATATAAATTAAAAAAAATTTATTATCTGTTTACTGAATGGCAATTAAAGTCTTGTAACACTGTTTCTGTTTCTGTCTTTTGCAAAAAATCCAATTCAAGAGATTTTTGTGATATGGCTGGAAATAATACTGAAGAGGTTGAGGTGGGTAGATTGTGATTATTTATGCAAATATTAATGTAAACTAACTACTTAGAAATATTATATCTATATACCTTCTTTATTTACAAGGATCTGTGCTGATGTGGCTTGATCAACTTTCACTCCTGCATTTGTTTCATGTTCATTGATAAATAGCTTGCAAAACCTACTCTTCGTGACAACAGGATTAAAAAACATCACTTGTTTAATAAATTGGCTAAAATTACTTTATTGCCAAGTTATCGTAATAAATTTTGAATAGGTTAGGGTTATAAAAAAATGACTTGTGTTTTCAAGGGAACAACCACCACAGACAGTAAAACTAATAGCACAGCTGAAATCCCACCGGAATTCTTGATCAAGCACCCACTGCAGAATACTTGGAGCTTGTGGTTCTATGACAATGACAGGACCAAGACATGGGAGGAGAATTTAATTGAATTGACTACATTTGATACAGTGGAAGATTTCTGGAGGTAAGTTTTAAAAAATAATTTTAGTTTAAATTATATATATATATAGTCTAACTTGCTGATGACTGATTAAGATCTGTTAACTGTCTAATGGCAAAAAGTCCTTAATTGTGCTGAAGATGTGCACTCCAATGTTGGCATTTGTTCAAACATCTTTTTCAGTAATGTTCTCTATAGGCTTTGTCCTGAACTTATAGAAGTATAGGGACAAATTTTATGTAATATATTATACTGAGTATGCATTATGAAGTTTGCATGAGAGACATGCCAGGTAGCACTTTCTAGTTATTCCCAGTCACACCTCCTGCTAACTTATATCATTACCTTGTAGTAAAAGGAAATACCGAATACAACTTTCCAGTGACAATTTGTGACCTGAGTCAAGTTGGCATAACCCTAAAGACCTAACAGGATAATAGTGCACATTAGTAATCCTCAAATTCACCAACATAGACATTTTAAACTGCCATCTCATCAGTTACTTGCACCAGCTGATAAGTAATAACCAGTACAGTTTGCATTAACAATCAACATTGCTCAGCTGATCTAGTTTATCTGATTTATCAATGGGCAGAGGCAGAACAATTTGAATCAAATTTGTTGCAGATCGGAGCATCAAGGTGAATTTAATTTAATTCAAATCGAAAAATTATATTACATATTGTTCTATTAGACTGTTTAATATCCATTTTCATTTATATATCAATGATATTTTTTTTCTGCTGACTTCCAAAAAGGAGATTCAATTTCAAACCGTACTCAATTCTACGCATATGTTTTTTTTTATGTTACTCTATTTTAAACTAAACTCAGATTGTGGTTTTGCAAAGACACTGCTTAATTTGATACACTTTTCTGCCGACTTCCATAAAGGAGAAGGTACTCAATTCGACTGTATGTTTTTTTAATGTGTGTTACCTCATAACTTTTTACTGGGTGGACCGATTTTGATGAATCTTTTTTTATATGAAAGCTGACACTTCTTGTGTGGTCGCATATGAATTTGATCAAGGTCAGACCAATATTTTTTGAGTTATTTGAGAGAATAACTTATATTGAAGTTGGCTGTACAAAATTTTTAATTTTAAATTACTATAGGAGTGACAAACAAGCACACATTCCACCTGATGGTAAGTGGTTGCTGTGGCCCATAGGCATCTACATTTATCCTTTTTCGCGAATCAAAACACAGATGCGTTGTCACTTGTGAGGACTAAGATGCAATGCCTCTTTTCCAGTAAAAAGGGTCTCCGGTTCTCTACATTCACCATACGAAACACAGCAGTGTTAAACTGCTATTTCACGCTGGTATTCTGTGAGAACGTAGTCCTTCCCCTGTCGAGCCGACCCATTCATACTACAACTATACTACTAATATAGCTGCAGCATGGCTCTACCACATAAAAAGCATGGCTCTACCACGTAAAAATCATTGCTCTACCACGTAAATTATTGTACACTGCTACATTTCATTGATATGTAGATGACAGCACTGATAACTTATACTTAATTGACTATGTCAATATTCCTTTAGAGCACATTGTCAAAAGCTAGAACAAACTTGTGTCTTCAGGGAATCAAAGGGAATCTTTCTTAAGTAGTGCTTGATTAGGTAATCTTAATCTAGTCCAATTAGTAAGAATCTCTCTGTATCTCCTCATTTTTAAGACACTCCCCTCGTTTGCCTTAGCCATAATTGGAACCAACAGAATTGATATATCAAGTGAAGCTTCTTTTAGTGGTTACTTGATGTATGTAACAATCAGTTGATGCTAAGTGTTAAATTCTTTGTGTGGCATTTTACAAAATATATAAATCTGTTTTTTCATAAGTGTTACTCTATCATTTATCTTTGACATTCCAGACTATACCATCATATCAAACTGCCTTCGGAGCTTCGCCAGGGACATGACTATGCTGTGTTCAAGCAGGGCATCCGACCTATGTGGGAAGATGACGCAAATAAGATGGGGGGCCGGTGGCTTATCAATCTTGAGAAAAAGCAACGCAACTCCGAGCTAGACCGGTTCTGGCTGGATGTGGTTAGTTCAATTTTCAAATATATTCAATTAGCAGGTCTAACAACTCTATTAAGACTAAACATATAGACAAACTTGTGACATAGTAATATGAGTGGTGCTTTATAGTGAATATTTTGTGCTGTGGATAGTTGTCAAAAGTAATCTGAAGTCTTAGCTGTAGTTGAAATTGACTAAAAGGACATTATCATTATCACAAACATATATAAAAAATATGTATTTCTGTATGAAGAGTGCCACACATTTCCCTTCGTCGTCTTTTACAACATCCATGAGATGGGGAAATTGATTCTCTTATGCTACCACTATATGTTTTTATTAATATTGTTCTTTTACGTGGTGGAGCCATGCCACATGAGTAAAGAAACTGTACCGTACAGAGACAAAGCTTCATACAACCACGCTGTTATAGGTGGTTATATGAACTACAAGCTTGAGGCTTGTAGTTCATACAACTACAAGCTTGAGTCGCGTGTGTGCGTGAGCACTGGCGGTTCGTCACGTACAGAGAGAAACTGCTTTAATGCGGCTTGGCCAGTGCTCAAACTCAGGGATGTGTAAAAAATAATAAGTGTCAAATATTGTTTTTTTAAAGAATAATTTGTATCAAATGAAATATAAAAATATGGTTTACTAATACCTACGTAAATTTAAATCGTACTGAGGTTGCCGCAAGAGATACAGTGGATTTTGTAAATAAAATTAAAAATTTGTACACACAAGTACATTGCAATCTCTTAATAAATATAAAAGAGCTTTTCGATGCGATAGTTAGTTGAGTTTTTAGAAGAAATGCTAAACTTTTTCAGGAACTTAAAATTAATAAGAAATGATAGTCAGAAAGATGTTACAAATAGCATGAATTTCATTCACGGATTCCAAGTTTCTATAAAAATCTTTAATAAAACTTTATGAAGAATTAAAATCAAAAGAAATTAAACTAATTTATATTTACGAGACGTGACAATCAAGATTGTCTCAATAATTTCGTTGGAAAAGTCAGACACAAAAATACGATACGATTGTCGTATTTTTGTGTTTGTGTGTTTTAATACATCATCACCGCAACCTGATGATGTTACTGCCCCTGTGTTAACAGTAGGAACAAATTATTATCTATTTGATTTACCACAAAAAAAAATGATTTAGTTTATGTGTCGGGATATTTGTATAGAAAATGTTGTGTTACGAACACCACAAATGTGATAAAATAAAACTGTTCATTAATAGATCTGAACAACCTATAAATATGGGAAAAGATTATTTTTTCAGCCATTCCAAGAATGTTAATAAAGATAGTGTTCAATCGGGGTTTTTTTATAATACTTTCTGACAATTTTATCACGTTTGTTGAATTGCTTGAGCAAAAATTTCGGAAATATTTTGACCTCAAAAGAAACATTGTAAATATTGGTAGTGAAATATTATAAAGTGTGCAAGAGTTTATTTGTGTTATGAAACGTGAGTGGTTTCCAATTGAATATTTAAAAAAAAAATTTCATTAAATTTAGAATTTACTATTTAATTAAAAGCCACAACAATTGTTGAAGAACAATAATTATAAAAGTAAAATATTTAGAATATGTAGTTTGTAAAAAAGTATTATATCTTAAGTATCTATTAAAATGCTGATAAACCAAAATAGGTAAATATTTTGACAGCTCCTTAGAAGCTTTGCCTCTGTACAGTTTCTTTACTCATGTGGCCATGCTGCAGTTATATATAGCTGCGGCACGAATAAGTCGGCTCAACCAAAGTGGGAACATGCTCCCACAGAATACCACCGTGAAACAGCAGAGAGCTTGCTGCTGTTTCTCGTATTGTGAATGTCGATATTCGTAGACCCTTTTTACTGGTTCATTACTAGCATACCATCTTAGTTCTCAAGAGTGACAATGCTTCTGCGTTTTGAATCTAATTGTAGATGTAGATGTCTATGCGCCACTGACCACTTATCATCAGGTTGTGTGCTTGTTCTATAAAAAAAAAATCATCAAGACTACCAAATCCACTTCTAATCATAGGCCTCCCCCAAATTACCTATTGAACTTAAAGCCCTTCTATATTGCAAACTTCCTATATTGGAACCTTCTATTATTTTATTATTGATTTTGCTTCATAGACTTTATTATCATATGTTCATAATATTGTACTATTACATTGTACAATAGTACTTCGGTAGGTAGTCACAATCCACCTCGTTACCTACATATTATGTCTGAGTGTAGATCTCACTGGCAGATTTCGAATAAATGGAATTTAAGGTGGTCAACCTTAAATTTGTCTAATGTGCAGTGTGATTGTGTGACTAATGAGAATTATTGTAGTTGGCTTTGTCTTGATATTTGGTTTTGTGGAATTGGATAAAAGTAACTGTATTCATCATAAGCCAATATCTATCTATGTTAATATTCTTTTTTAGTTTACAAAGTATTATCATAATTAAAAACGTAACACAATTGTAGAGGGATTCCCACTGACAATCGATTTCCACTAGAGTTATGCAATCGCACTGCACTGCACTGCAGTACAAGCCTGCCACTCTAGAACCTTTCATTCACGTCAGTTGTTAATTCGTCGGGCTACATGGTTACTTCAGCATATTAATTACATTGGGCTAAGTCATTTGGACTAGTTCTGCTGCAGATATCATTGTACAATTAGCAGCTGCAACATGCACTGATTGTATATGACAAAATTAATTTACATATACACTCATAATTTTTTAGGTTTTACTATTAATTGGTGAAAATTTCGAACACTCTGAAGAAATCTGTGGTGCAGTTGTAAATGTGAGACCAAGGTTTGATAAGATTGGTAAGATAATTTTTCTTAATTAAATTGCACTTTTTGTTTGATTTGTATCAAAAAAATGTCGTTATTTTTCTAGTTATAGTTACCCGTTATTTCTTTTCTGGCAAACTTATTTTACCCACAGTGTATATAGCATATAATAAATAACTGTGTGTGTGAGTAAAATAACTTAATGAATTCTATATTCCTTATTCTAGTTATTTCATATTAAAGTTTATAACAACAATATAATTATTATTTACGAAGGGTTATTTATTTTGTGTGTGGGCAGGAATATAATGATTATTTGAGCCATGAAATTTCCTCGAAGAAGCTCAGCAGTCCCTTGATAATTGCCAGCAACTTTGGGGAGTGATCGCGGCGTGCCGGGATGTTTTGCCTTGTGTAACATAATTACTATTCATTAGATGAATAGGCTGTTGTTAATGAAATAATTATGTTGTTGCCCATTTAGTGTTGGTGGTGTAAGCAATTCTGAACCATGGGATACATGGGAACCATTTCATTCATTGCAGTGGTTGAGATAGAGATGGTAGATATATGTATATTTATATAATTAGAAATACAACGCCATTATTGTTATGAATAACAATAGTGTGAGAGTGTATGTATATTCACTCTCTTGATAATGCTATTTATCCTTATATACATCTATGCTTATAAATAAAATTAAAGTGTCTGACTTTTAATACCGCAATAACTGCCCTTTGTTGAGTGCAGGGGATTATTTGCATGCCATTAAGACAAATAAATATTTCCAAAAAAAAATTCTGCCCTTTTTTCTATCTGTCCAAACTAATCTTCAGAATGGCTAAATTTATTGTGAGACAGAGACCCTTTTTACTGGTAATGAGACATTCCATCTTAATCCTCAGGGGTGACAACGCATATGCATTTTGATTCTTAATTGAGGATAGATATAGATGATTATGGGCCACAGCATCCACTTACCATCTGGTTGTAGAGCCATGGTGTAGAGTATGAGCAATTTACATGTGGTAGAGCCATGCTGCAGCTAAATTAGTTATATTGTTGTAACACGAAAGGGTCAGCTCGACTGGGGAAGGACCACACTCTCACAGAATACCAGTGTAAAATAGCAGCTTAATGCTGCTGTGTTTCATATGGTAACTGTAGAGAACTGGAGACCCTTTTTACTTGAAAAGAGCATTCCCTCTTAGTCCTCAGGGGTGACAACGCATCTGAATTTTGATTCGCAAACGAGTATAGATGTAGGTCTCTATGGGCTACAGCAACCACTTACTATTGGGTTGAGTTGTTTGCTCTTTTGGCAATCTTATTTTATTTAAAAAAAACTTACATGCTCCGAGTGGTGATAACTTTATATTCTTTTAACAATGTTAGAGCATCGTATTCAACAATGGACTTTTACAGGAAGATGTAAATTATTATACTGAAGGCTAATCTAAATATTTGATTTCAGGTGTTTGGACAGCGGAAGCATCAAAGCAGCAAGCTAACCTCGAGATTGGTAGAAAAATTAAAGAACAACTCGGCATACATGGGAAAATTGGCTTTCAACTACATAGAGACACTATGGCCAAGCATAGTTCCGCTACTAAGAATCTATATACTGTTTAGATATAACAAATTATGTAAAAAATATGCATCAACAGCACTGAGATGACGAAAAAATTAAGCATGTTTCAATGTAATTATTATGAGAATTAATAGTCCCAGTGTACACAGTTACTTGCTTATATGAAATAATTACAACTAACAAAAAGTAAAAACCGACTTAAAATTGCTAAAAAAGAAGTTATTTATTTGCCATATAAATTTATAGAAAAAATTTCACCCATAGTGAAATTTTTCTATAAATTTATATGGCAACACACTTCAAGTATAACCTATTTAAAAAAAAGAATCTTCAAAATTGGTTCACAATCTGCGAGATATTGCGTAACATACATACAAAAAAATAACACACTCAAATTGCGAACCTCCTCCTCTTTGAAGTCGGTTAAAAACTAATGAAATACAAATGAATACTTAAAAATACTGTTAATAATTAATTGTCATGTTTGTAATACTGCAAGTTCGTGTACAAATGCAACTATTATATAAGAGTCATCTCATTAGCTGTTCCTGCCTTACTAAATAGTATAAAAATGTCTTTATTTAACAGAAGTAGTTATTACGTTGACGTTCATGTTTGCCTCGTAACGAGAGCTTTGTTCTAACAACATCTATAATTGACTATTGAAAACAGAAGTCTGATGTTTGTACTAAAGCCTTGCTTGAGTATGTTTGTTGATATGGTCACCTAGATGTAAGTTTATATTTACTTTGATGAAGGAACTCTGGTGGAACACAAAATTCACATTTAGTTTTTTTTTAAATATTTAACATTTATTTTAAAATATTTAATTTCACACGCTTTAGACCTAAACACATGCAATTTTGATCCTTCTGGCGGTTTATCTTACATCTGTAACAATTTTTGAAATTGATGTTTGTGTCTGTAAGTTAAAGGATATTTTGGTATTTTGTATAAAAAGTAGCAAAATATAATTTTGGCCTTTAATTTAATTTTTATCCATATTAAAGTGTTCTCTCAGTTTTTAGTCTATACCCTTCAGCGAAGTTTCGTATTTATAGTTTCTCTTCTGCGGATTTGTCGAGCTGCGCGGATGCTGTAACCGATGTGTCGCGTCAAGCGGTGGAGTAGCTCGCCCATAATTCCGTCCATGCTGAAAAGCGCAAGCATTTAGCATATCTATCCGGGGTTAGCGCTCGAGACCTTTCAGAGAACTTTCTACCAGGCCGCCAAATACTACAAAAAACGTTATGGAAAACCAGTCTCAACCGCATTAAACATGGCGCAAAACTCTGCCAGACCATCCGGCAACGCTACTATTTAGCTTTTCGGTCTCTTGCCAAAGCGGTCGAGACAAACTTCTGTCGCCTACACTGCCTCCGCTGGTAAAATCGGATGATTCACTGGCGTATACGGCCAAAGAGAAAGCGGACTTGTTCGCATCTCTGCCTGGACAGTGACAACATTCCGCCTGAAATACTTCACCGCGGAACCTTTACCTTGGAGGTTCGTATCACAAACAAGGAGGTTGTTAAAACCTTGTGACGTCTAGACGTGAATAAAGCTAGTGGACGAGATGGTATACCAGCTATTGTTCTAAAGGCTCTTGTGCACCAGAGTTGTCTCCTGTGCTGGCACGCATGTTCCGCCTCATTCAGGACTGGAATAGTGCTTAAATCCTGGAAGCTGGTCAACGTGCAGCCTGAACCAAAAAAGGGCAGCCGTACCGACCTTGTCAATTATCGTCCACTTTCAATTACCTTCATATCTGCAAGATTATGAAGCGTATATTGAACGCCCACCTCATATACATATAAACAGAATGACGTCGCAGAACGCCAATACGGGTTTTGCCGAAATCGGTCAGCTGGGGACCTTCTTGTGTATGCCACGCACATTATGGGGCGAGGCACTCGAGAATAGTAGACTTTTGATATCTCGAAGGTCTGACACACGCTAGCCTTTTGGGTCAGCTTCCAGCTTTCGGCTTATTCACTGGCCCTGATAGACTGGGTGAAAGACTTTCTGAGTGAACGGTCTTGTAGTCGTCATCAATGGCTGCTCATCCGATCCTATGGCGACTAACGCCGGAGTTCCGTTCATTCCGCAACTCCTGCTGCATACTAATGATCTGTTTATGCTCGGTATCTATGGGTATGCAGACGGCAACATAGTTGTGGAGAGATACCAACCAAGTGCTCGGGCAAGTCTGGATCAAATCCAGTCAGAAAGAGAAGGTATAGTTGAGCGTATGAATCTCTCACTACAGACAGTCTCCACATGAGGCGATGCCAATCTTGTAAAATTCAACACTTCCGAAACACAAGCATATCTGTACACTGCAAAAAGGAGTCGGCTCACCTTGCCTCCTTTTCGTAATGTATCACTAGAATACACCAACCGCCAGTCAGCTTTTGCGGGTTGAGTTTTCCTCAAACTTGAACTCCGGTTTCCGTTGTATCCAAGGTCAAATCAGCTGCAAGGTAGGAGGCCTTGCAAAGTTGCGGTACTTCACGCCGGAACAGCTGCTTACTTTAATATAAAGCACAAGTCCGTCATGATTTTTTTTTTTATAGAATAAGGGTGACAAACGAGCACGCAGTCCACCTTATGGTAAGTGGTTGCTTTGCCCATAGACATCTACATATATCTTCGTTTGCGAATCAAAATGCATATGCGTTGTCACCCGTGAGGACTAAGATGGAATGCCTCTTTTCCAGTAAAATGGGTCATTAAGCTGCTATTTTACGCTGGTATTCTGAGAGAGCGTGGTCCTTTCCCGGTCGAGCCGACACATTCGTGCTAGAACTATACTATTAAATATAGCTGCAGCATGGTAGAGACGTAAAAAATGAATGGAGTATTGCTGCCATATATGGGCTGGGGCTGCAAAATGCCACCTAGCAGCTTTGGACTCCATGGAATGGCGTGCTGAGGCTTATTGGTGACCCGTATCTGGTTAAAACCAATCTTACCACCCTCGAACAGAGGTTAAGTAGCCAGTCTTTCGGTTTTCTTTAGGATGCATGTATTTCAGAGTGCGCAGGAATTCCATAACTTAATTCCTCCCTTTCCCTTCCATCATGGGCCAGTCTCCACCCTTTCGTCTTTGACTTACTCTTACCACACATTCGAATCAAACGGTAGCATATACATCATTCTTTATGCATACAGCAAAGGAGTGGAATAAGTTGCCAGCATCTGCTTTTCCATTCAATTACAATGTGGGTGTCTTCAAGGCAAGAGTGAATAGGCTTTTGTTAGGTCAGTGCGCTTCACCATCTTCGGCTGCATCACCACTTTCCATGAGTTGTGATGCAGCCGAAGATAATAATAGTTAAGCACTGGCTTAATATAAATAGAATAGTGAAGAAAAATACTGCTAGATTATTCCTGTCTTAACCATTACATAATTAATGGTTGATCGCTTCCAAGCTGTTTCTAAAATAAATTTTGTACTTATATAGTTTGTACAACCATTATTGTAAAATTTACTTTAAAAAAAAGTCCCGCTGGGTTTCTTGCTGGTTCTTCCCAGGACAGAGGTTTTTTTTCGAACCAGTGGTAAAGTAAAAAATGACTTTCAATAAGAATTACACATATTGAATAAAAAATTATTCTATTCTATTCCAATAAAAGTTGTCGAAAATTGGTGCCGCAACGAATCGGTTAAAATAGACCCAGTTTGTGCCGATCGCTCCATCTGCCTTTTTCTATAATTTGAGCAAAAACCTAACTGGTAGTGATCTAGCATCAGTTAATTAATTGAATAGTATAATATTTATTTATTTATTATATCCTTTTACTACTATCATTACTATTAATATATATCCTCCAGACCGAAATTCAGTCATGACGGCTAATCTTAATGGAGGTTAGCCATCTACGCTGGACAGGATTATAGTGCACGAGTATGTGCGCTCACATGGTCACTCCATATTTCTTTACTCTCATATTTAGATGGGATGGTAATCCGACGGGCTAGGTGCAGGCTGAGTACGTTGCGTGCAACGCTGGGAAAAACGTGAACAAGCTGGCCTTTGTTCAACAAAAATTGGACGTCATGGACCAGGTGTCTCTGGAGCAGATACTAATGACAAGCTTCACCGAGGACGAGATCATCCAAGCGAATAAGGTGTTAACAGATTCAGCCGTGACCCAAATCCGTCTTATCACACGTCACAGGGATGGACGCGGTAAGAAAGACCTGCAAGACATCTTCAGGCTTTTCAATGAGACCTACCCTGATAACATTCCAACTTTCGTCGCGCGTGATCTCAACAAGCTGCCTCCCGTGTCGTTCGATCACGTAGACGTGACCAGATTGTTGAAAGACATCACCACGTTGAAAGCCGATGTTACCGACATCCGTTCCAAATTTGAAGAATCGAAACGAGCCGCAACAGAGCTGAGGAATGAAGTCAATATGTTGCACAACATAATTGCAACATCTGCGAATTCACCGCCGTCGCAGAATGTAAATAGGACACGCGGTAACCGTAATAGTAGTCATATTTCACCGATGATTGCGACTCCGTCACGCGATACCGTCTGTCAGCGGGTTGATGACCGTGAAACTAGGGTGACCTCGGTCGTCATTGCATCGCCACCTCAACCATTGACTGAACCCATTAGTACTCCGCCGAAGCCAACCTCAAAACAAGGGAAGACGTTTGCGGATGTTGCCCGAAAATCTTTACAACCGGCACCCTCTTGTGGTCGAAACCGAAATAATGTGAAAATAAAATCAGTTCCAGTGGTGACCCGAAACAATATTGATAATGACGAGTTTACTCTTGTTGAGAAGAGACGTCAGTCGAGACCCGTCTGTAACCAGCGTGGAACCACCAAAATAAACGCGAGTACAACTCTGCGTGCTGTGGAGCCAACCATACAGCTCTACATCTCCCGTTTGGACAAAAGTACGTCGGGAGAAGACGTCCTGCGTTTCGTGGAAGAACGAAGTCGATGCCACATTGAGGATCCGATCTCTTTACATTTGCAGCGTCTGGAGTCTAATAGGTCAACGAACTTCAAATCCTACATACTCCAGGTTCCTGCACAACACAAAGAGACATTCCCGCTTCCGGTTTCTGGCCCTGCCCTCTGAGGTAGTGTTTCGCAGATACAGGGACGCGCCAAAGAAAAAAGTTCCCTAAATAGTGTTAAGTTACGTCTATATTTTATATATATTTTTAGGTTAAGGTATATATTGCTATGGGCCAATGTACTTAATTTTTAAGTCCTTGATGCCTGAAATAAAGTTATTGTATTGTATTGTATTGTAAAGGCCTAGTATATTTTATTAATATATACATTAAAAAATGTGTGAAACTAGATGGGTAGAACGACATACATTTTTGGAAATCTTGCTATGTCTTCCTAGACTTGTGCTAACAATTGTTGATCAAGAGGACAGACGTGCTACATCTGTGATTTCGTTGCTCTAAGCTATAATGTCGTCGGAATTTCTCGTGAGCTTGGTAATCCTCGATGATATTATGGGAATCACACTCCATTTATCTCGATCCTTGCATGCCATTGAAGTTGATGTACTTTCTGCAACTCAGCTTGTCAATATGACCAAAACCTGCTTGCAGAGGCAACGTGATACTAGCACGGGCACATTTAAACGAAATTGGAACCGAAATCACGGTACGTGGAATAACCGGCCGTCAAACGAATAGATCGAACATTCAGACTTAACTCAGTCTGTTGAAGAATAATACCGACTCTCAGTGTATATTCCTTTTCTTGATTATTTATTGAATGAAAAATGTCCTTTAGGTTTCGCAGAGCTAAGCTGCAAAGAATAGGAAAGCTGCAAAAGTTGCTGCCCCATAACTTAATCGATGAAGATATAGAGGATGTTTTGCAAGGTGCTGAAGTATATAACGAGAATGTAACTTGTTTTTTAGCTTTGAAGGAATAATACTAGCAACATATGAGAGAAAATATCCTTAAAACACCAGCAGATGCCTATAAAAGGCAATGGCTCTGCCAAATATTATGCACGTTCCATGTGACAACCAGCACTGCCGAGCAATTTTTTCCACCTTATGCCGGTTTAAGACATCTTTGCAGCAGTATATAAGAGAAGATTGTCCAAGTGGACTGGGCTTAATGCATATTCATAAAGAAAGAAAAGAAAAAGATTGCTACAAAGATGAACGCTGAAGAAGTACTTGATATCTTCAGCAGAAAACATAAAGAAAGCTATCTCTAACAAACATGTAATTTCTCATTATTTAATTTTTATTACAAGTATTTTTATAGTTATTTTTGTATTTTATTGACGAAAAATGTATCCCAAAAACAGTATAGTACAACACTAAGAGGGACACATGACCTATGGCCATGTGCCCCTCCCAGATATAAATCCTGGATCCGCCCTTGGGTGCCGCTCACTGTAAAGGTGGGTAATTGAATTTTAACCATTAAAATAAACAGTTAAAATAAATAACACATTTATTAATAAAAAATAACCATAATGAATAAAATTATCATAATATCTGATCCTAATCTGGTGCTAAGAATCTCCGGTGGAGGTTCGGTTGCCACCTTAGACGACTCGACCTGGCAACGTACAACGCACGCACCCTGAGGACTGACGAGAAGATCGTGGAGCTGGAAGAAGAGATAGACAAGTTGCGCTGGCATATTATAGGATTATCCGAAGTCCGAAGAGAGGGGGACGACACGGTAATCCTCGAATCCGGCAACTTGCTCTATCACCGGGAGGGCGACCATCTGTCCCAAGGAGGTGTCGGATTTATCGTCCACAAGTCTCTCGTTAACAACGTTGTAAAGATCGGGAGTGTGTCGACGAGGGTTGCGTACCTTATACTCAGAATCACCAAACGGTATTCGCTGAAGGTCATACAGGTTTACGCACCAACCTCGGCACACCCCGATCAGGAGGTGGAGGAAATGTATGAGGATATCTCTAGAGCCATGCATTCCTCCAAAACCCAATATACGGTGATAATGGGAGACTTCAATGCAAAACTAGGCACAAGAGAGAACGGTGAGCTGAAAGTAGGGAAATTTGGAATAGGGCAACGGAACCCAAGGGGCCAGCAGCTGGCCGACTTCATGGAGAAAGAGGGACTCTTTATGATGAACTCTTTCTTCCAGAAGCGGCCCCACAGGAAGTGGACCTGGTCGAGCCCCGACGGTTCGACAAAAAATGAGATTGACTTCATTATGACGACCAGACGACAACTGTTCAGTGATGTCTCCGTGATCGCAAGGGTGAAAACTGGTAGCGATCACCGAATGGTTAGAGGCACACTGAACCTAAACGTTAAGTTGGAGAGGTCTCGTCTAATGAAGTCAACGCTCCGTCCCCCTCGTGCTCTAATCCAAAGTCCCGAAACCTTTCAGCTCGAGTTACAAAACCGTTTTCAGTGCCTAGAAGACTGCAATGAAGTGGACGATATGAATGACAAGCTCGTGGAAACTGTCCATGCGGTCGGAGCTAAGTTCTGCAAGACCCGCCGCAGAAGAACACAAAAACTCTCCGATCACACTCTTAATCTCATGGCTGTTAGACGGGAGATGAAGCTACATTCTTCAACAGACTTGACAGCATACAGGCATCTGAACAGACAGATCTCAAAATGCATGCGGCGGGACTTACGCAACTTCAATACAGCTCGTATTGAAGAAGCGATCGAGCGGAACCAAGGCTCCAAAGTCTTTGCCAGAGATCTGTCTGCCAGAAAGAGCCAACTGTCAAAGCTGAAGACAGAATGTGGCAGCATCGTTTCCGGGACACCTGAGATTTTGAGTGAGATTGAGAGGTTCTATGGGCAGCTGTATACGTCATCGTTGGAGCCACACGCAAGTGTGAGTAACGATCCAAGAGCGAGTCTCATCCGACACTATTCCGAAGATATCCCGGACGTCAGTCTGAGCGAGATTAGAATGGCTCTCCAGCACCTTAAAAACGGTAAGGCCCCAGGCGAGGATGGAATTACAGCGGAGCTTCTGAAAGCGGGTGGAAAACCTCTTTAATTCCGTCCTCCATGGTGGCATTACACCGGAGGCGTGGAGCAGAAGTGCGGTGGTCTTGTTCTTCAAGAAAGGTGACAACGCTCTCTTGAAGAACTACAGACCGATTTCCCTTCTGAGCCGCGTCTACGTGCTGTTTTCGAGAGTCATTACGAATCGTCTCGCGCGCAGACTTGACGACTTCCAGCCTCCCGAACAAGCCGGTTTCCGAAAGGGCTTTAGCACCATAGACCACATACATACCCTTCGGCAAGTTGTACAGAAGTCCGAAGAGTACAATTTGCCACTATGTCTGGCGTATGTGGACTATGAGAAAGCCTTTGATTCCGTCGAAATTTGGGCGGTGCTGCAGTCCCTTCAGCGGTGCCAAGTTGACTGTCGGTATATCGAAGTGTTGAAGTGCTTGTACAGTAGGGCTACGATGGCTATCCGAGTACAGAACCAGAGTACGAAACCTATCCAATTGCAGAGAGGTGTAAGACAGGGTGACGTCATATCCCCGAAACTCTTCACCGCTGCATTGGAAGACGTTTTCAAGCTTCTGGACTGGAAAAGGTACGGTATCAACATCAATGGCGAGTACATCACTCACCTTCGATTTGCCGACGATATAGTCCTTATGGCAGAATCGCTGGAGGGCCTAAGCACTATGCTCAATGACCTCAATAGTGTTTCCCAACGGATAGGTCTTAAGATGAACATGGACAAAACAAAGATTATGTTTAATGTCCATGTCACACCTATGCCGGTAGTTGTTGGGAGCACTAAGCTCGAAGTTGTTGACGAGTATGTTTACCTGGGACAAATAGTCCGACTAGGTAAGTCCAACTTCGACCGAGAGGTCAATCGACGGATTCAACTCGGCTGGGCAGCGTTCGGGAAGCTACGACACATCTTCTCGTCAGACATACCTCAAAACCTTAAAACGAAATTGTACAACCAGTGCGTGTTGCCAGTGATGACTTACGGAACTGAGACGTGGTCCTTCACTGCTGGCCGTATGAGGAAGCTCAAGGTCGCTCAGCGAGCTATGGAGAGGGCTATGCTCGGAGTTTCTCTGCGTGATAAACTTAGGAATGAGGATATCCGCAGTAGAACCAGAATAACCGACATAGCTCAACGAATTAGTAAGCTGAAGTGGCAGTGGGCCGGCCATATAGCTCGAAGAACCGACAACCGATGGGGAAGAAAGGTTCTCGAGTGGCAGCCTCGTACCGGTAGGCGAAGTGTAGGGCGTCCCCCCACGAGATGGAGTGACGACCTGGTAAGACATGCAGGTGGCTCAGGACCGTGCTTTGTGGCATTCTTTGGGGGAGGCCTATGTTCAGCAGTGGACTTGTGAAGGGCTGTAATGATGATGATGATGATGAATATCTGATCCATTTATTAAAATTCACGATTACATGACTTATTGGCGTTTAGGCCATATCATTAAACTGGATTACATTCAAATTAGGCTCTTCTCAACTAAGCTTGAGGACTACATTTATTTGCCTAAGATGTTTTTAAAGTATGTTATTTGCTATAAAATTTAACAATTGTCTTAAGTCTTAATACTTATCATGAATGAAAATATATTTTCGTGTTTTTTTTTTTATATAGGACAAGGGTGACAAACTAGCACACAGTCCACCTGATGGTAAGTGGTTGCTGCGGCCCATAGACTTCTACATCTATCCTCCATTATAAATCAAAATGTAGATGCGTTGTCACCCGTGAGGACTAAGATGGAATGCCTCATTTCCAGTAAAAAGGGTCTCCGGCCAGGTGGCCGGTGAGTGCAGGTGCACTCACCAAGCGAAACGCAAAGGTAAACATCTACTTCACGCTGGTTTTCTGTGAGGTCGTGGTACCACCCCGGTTCGAGCCGGCCCATCCGTGCGACAGCAAAAGCTGCCGCGTAGCTCTACCACTGATGTGATGTTAATATTATTTTTCTTTTAACAGATAGAAAATTACGTTTTTAACTTATAGGAGTCACGCCAATTTAATTTTTGACACTGCTAAACTAGAAATTAAAATTTAAGTACCCCGAAAGTAGGGGGAAAATACAAAAAAATATATACAAAACTAAACTAAACATAACGTATAGGTATGTGTTAAGTAAGTTAATACAATACAAAAATACAAACTTATCAAAAATTGGACCGAAACAACCACAATCTAACTTTAATCACTTCGTGAATAAAATGCTTAAAAGTTCATTTCAGTCAAAAAGAAGACATGCCATTAAATTCTTCTATATTTAAGTCATTATCATCATTAATTAAAAAACTAAATTAATTAAGGATTTAGTTGATTATTTTTTATTAATTCATAAATTACTACTCTAATTATCTAACGTCTGAATAATAAAAGTGTGGAGCCTTGCAACTTCGCGCTAAGCCGCTCTTCGCCCTTATTTTGACGCGCGCTAAAACCTACGAAAATGCGCGAAAGCACAATAAATAATAGTACCTACCTACTACAAGTCAGAGCTCCAACCGCCAACCACAAATTATAAAGTTGCCGCCAACTTCCAACGTCATTTCCTTTAGTGTGCACGAGTTGAATGTATGTAGATATAGCTTTAAGGGCTACCATCAATCGGCCTTTACCCACAAAATATGGGAAAACTCATTATGATACGCGATCATATTTATCATGGCAATTGTATTATGTTAGTTTGTTATGTTATTTTATGTCAGGAATTGGATACAATAATAAACAGAAAGAAAAATATAAAGGAAAATACTTAATGCAAATTTATTTTCTCAAAACCGAGAAAAATCAGCTAAATGATAGTCATACAATAATCATGCTGATGTTACATTTACAGCACAATGGTGTCTTCATAACCTGGCAAGGCTTAAGGCTAAGGCATATGACATAAGGCTTTCAACACTGGCAAAAATTTTGGAATCAGCAGTTCACAATAGATTGTACTCACAAGTAAGCGCTCAGTTAACAGACGCACAGCACGGCATCCGCCCGTGACGAAGCACGAAAAGCAACCTGCTCAACTATATGTTAGACGTTGTGACGGCCGTGTATTCTGGGGAACAAATTGACGCTGCATACTTTGATTCCAAAAAAGCCTTTGATCTGGTGGACAATGATGTGTTGTTTAAAAGTTAGCGAGTTTCGGCTTTACTCCAAAACTCTTATAATTTTTCGCGAGCTATATGAGAGACAGGCAGCAGTTTGTGCAGTATGTTGGTTACGTGTCGCAGCCATATTATACAAAATCGGACGTAAGTCAGGGCAGTAACCTTGGACCCTTTGAATTAATTTTGATGGAGAATGATCTACCAGGGGTAGTGAAAGAGGCGAAATGTCCGTTGTTCGCAGACGACTTTAGACTATATATCTGGAGATCGGAAATCAAGAATCAAGATGACTGCGAAAAATTACAGAGTGATATCGATAGAGTGGTGGCTTGGAGTGAGAGAAACTGTGTACAGTTTAATACCTCTAAGTGAGTAACAATAACATTCTCGGGAGCACACCATCACATCCTTAACAATTACAAGGTTGCGGGAGTCCGAATGAACAGAGTAAGTGAACTTAGGGATTTAGGCATTCACCTCACTTCAAGGCTTTCATTTAAGGAACATGTCGAAAAAATCTGGGCATATCGTAATCTGGGTTTCACATTACGCAGAGATCACGACTTTAAGAAGTAAGAACATTGGGGCAGCTATAATATTGTATAATGCCTTAATAAGGAGCCACCTCGAGTGCAATGCAGCCGTATGGGCTCCGCACGAGATTAAGTACATCCTCGTGCTGGAACGGATACGAAATAAATTTATTCGATATTTATATCTGAAACAGTAAAGAGTATACCTATTCCACCCGTTGAAGTATCCTACGTTGTTCATCCTGGGCATGGTGGGATTTAACGAACTGAGGGTTAGGAGAGAACTGGCTCTGGTTTACTATATGTTTCGCCTATTAAGTGGCATTACTATTACTTATTACTATTACTACATATTAGGAAGATTTACTTCTGTGTGCTGGATAACTACGTGGAGCGGAGGTGGCAGCCGCGGCTGCTGGCGGAGCCATGCACGCGCACAAGCTTGCTGTAGTAAGCGCCGCTTACTCGCGCCACACGCCTTTTGAATCAATGGTCGGATCGGGTGGACTTATTCTATTGCACTCTGAATGAATTCACAAGAGCTGATTTGTTTGTTATTTGTTATTCGTAGTTGTTTTTTCTTTGGGATTGTTTTTTCTGTGTATTAGTTTAGCATGTATTATCGCATTAGCTTATTAAACCTGTAATGGTAGTATGTATGTGGAAATAAATAAATAAATAAAAAATAAATAAATCTAGGACTAGCTATCTATTTTACTGATTTACCAATGCCTAAGATAAGAGTATTTTACATGGCAGCACTAAAATTTGCGGGGAATTCCATTATCCCTCTTTGACGAGAGTTATGAACGAACGTTTGCAAAACGTGTGCAAAGCAAATTAAACAGTATCACAGTTTAGACCTTATCTTCAAACTGTGAGAGTATTTAGTATTCAGTCAGTCAGTAGGTAGGTAACATATGGTTTTGTTTATCGAATACTTCTTCCGTAGAAGCACAGAATAAATAATTGGTAGAAAGCAATGGCGGTAAGTATAATCTTTATTTCTGAAATGGAAGTTACCTAAATGAATTATTATATTATACATATTTATTGCGAAGGTATAGGAGTGCCAATGACAATCTTTTTAATATTTTTGTTAATAAATGCTTAAATATTTACGCCTTGATCAAATCCTCAACAAAGCTTTAAAAATATGCTGGAGTTGGGAGGTCTCATACAGATAAAATACCTACCTACGGTTCAGCAGTCCTCGTACTCGTTTGGACAAAACAAAAATTAATTTATTTTATGACGACCTGTGTGGTGCAGGTTTCGATTTCCGAGCGGAAACGGTTCTGGGTAAATTTGTTATTGTGTGAATGATATTTTTATATTTTTAGAGCCACGTTTATTCAAAATAGTAGTTATTATAAGGTTTTAAGCATAGTTAGAAATATTTAAGCATAGTTGAGTCGCAATTTTACTACCGGTTAGTGCAGTCGCTTCATAATGACGTGACGGCTCTAATGCCGAACTTACAGTATTTTTGTAGCGTAAGCATACCTACTGCGCAAAAATAATTCGAAATGGCGTGTCAACCTAAACGTTCCGAAACCGTCGTAATCCACGAGTTGCTGGCCTTTGTTCAACAAAAATTGGACGTCATGGACCAGGTGTCTCTGGAGCAGATACTGATGACAAGCTTCACCGAGGACGAGATCATCCAAGCGAAGAAGGTGTTAGCAGATTCAGCCGTGAGCCAAATCCGTCTTATCACACGTCACAGGGATGGACGCGGTAAGAAAGACCTGCAAGACATCTTCAGGCTGTTCAATGAGAACGACCCTGATGACATCCCAACTTTCGTCGCGCGTGATTTCAACAAGCTGCCTCCCGTGACGTTCGATCACGTAGACGTCACCAGATTGTTGAAAGACATCACCACGTTGAGAGCCGATATTACCGACATCCGTTCCACATTTGAGGAATCAGAACGAGCCGCAACAGAGCTGAGGAACGAAGTCAATATGTTGCGCAACATAATTGCAACATCTGCAAATTCACCGCCGTAGCAGAATGTGAATACGACACGCGGTAACCGTAATAGTAGTCATATTTCACCGATGATTGCGACTCCGTCACGCGATACCGTCTGTCAGCGGGTTGATGACCGAGAAACTATGGCGACCTCGGTCGTCATTGCATCACCACCTTAACCCTTGACTGAACCTTAGTACTCCTCCGCCGAAGCCAACCTCAAAACAAGGGAAGACGTTTGCGGATGATGCCCGAAAATCTTTACAACCGGCACCCTCTTGTGGTCGAAAGCGGAATGGTGACTCAAGACAAGATTGATAAGGACGGGTTTACTCTTGTTGAGAAGAGACGTCGGTCGCGACCCGTCTGTAACCAGCGTGGGACCGCGAAAATAAACGCGAGTACAACTCTGCGTGCTGTGGAGCCAACCATACAACTCTACATCTCCCGTTTGGACAAAAGTACGTCGGGAGAAGACGTCCTGCGCTACGTGGAAGAACAAAGCCGATGCCGCATTGAGGATCCGATCTCTTTACATTTGCAGCGTCTGGAGTCTAATAGGTCAACGAACTTCAAATCCTACGTACTCCAGGTTCCTGCAAAACATAAAGAGACATTCCTCGCTCCCGATTTCTGGCCCTCTGGGGTAGTGTTTCGCCGATACAGGGACACGCCAAAGAAAAAAGTTCCCTAAATAGTGTTATGTCTATATTTTATATATATTTTTAGGTTAAGGTATATATTGCTATGGGCCAATGTTCTTAATTTTTAAGTCCTTGATGCCTGAAATAAAGTTATTGTATTGTATTTCACACACATTCTTTAAATTCGGATAGTGCTTGGTACTACTCTTGCCTGTGCTTATACCTACTACATTTTTTATCACAATTTTTATGACTATGTTATAAATAATAAGGCCTACTAGCTGCTAAAATTGATTGTACCTAATACAATAAACAAAATTTAGATAGGTAGGTAGGTAACCTACTCAACTTTTATTAATAAGCAAAAATTGTCTAGTAAGGGTTATTATACTGCTAAAGAGTAATAATAGCCCCTGGAAATGAGGTGATCGCTACTTTGCTGTTTCTAAATGTTTTCATAATAATTATATAAAATATTGTATATCGGAAATTGTGCTTTTAAAAAAAGTGCCGCTGGGTTTCTAGACATTTTAGCTTTTTAAAACCAAGCGCCGTAGTCAAAGGTTCTTTGCTACCTCATCATCATCTTCATCATCATCATTACAGCCCTTCACAAGACCACTGCTGAACATAGGCCTCTCCCAAGGAATGCCACAAAGCACGGTTCCAAGCCACCTACATCCTTTGACTTCCTGCATGTTTTACCAGGTCGTCACTCCATCCAGTGTGGGGAGGCCCTACACTTTGCCTGTCGGTACGAGGCTGCCACTCAAGAACCTTTCTTCCCCATTGGTTGTCGGTTCTTCGAGGTATATGGCCGGCCAATTGCCACTTCAGCATACTAATTCTTTGAGCTATGTCTATGATGACGGCTCCGTGGCGCAGTGGCTTAGCAATAAGTTGCAGCACCAAGGGCCGCGGGTTCGAATCCCGCACGGAACAAGTATTTGTATGGCCAACAAATAATTGTCCCGGGTCTGGATGTTTGTCCTTGTGAAATTTATGTATGTAAACTGCCCCCACGATACAGGAGATAATCTCAGTGTGACGGTAACGTTTAAAAAAAAAGAATTAAAGAATTACTCTGGTTCTACTGCGTATATCCTCGTTTTAAGTCTATCACGCAGAGAAACGCTGAGCATAGCCCTCCATAGCTCGCTGAGCGACTTTGAGCTTCATCATACGGCAAGCAGTGAAGGACCACGTTTCAGATTCATAGGTCATCGCTGGCAACACGCTCTGGTTGTATCCGTCGATTGACCTCTCGGTCAAATTTAGACTTACCTAATCGGACTCTTTGTCCCAGGTAAACATATTCGTCAATAACTTCGAGCTTAGTGCTCCCAACAACTACCGGCTGTTAATACCGTTTCTTTTCCAGTCCAGTAGCTTGAAAACGTTTTCCAATGTAGCGGTGAAGAGTTTCGGGATATTACGTCACCCTGTCTTACACTGCTCTGCAGTTGGATAGGTTTCGTATTCTGGTTCTGTACTCGGATAGCCATCGTAGCCCCACTGTACAAACACTTCAGCACTTCGATATACCGACAGTCAACTTGGCACCGTTGAAGGGACTGCAGCACCGCCTAAATATCGACCGAATCAAAGGCTTTCTCATAGTCCACATACGCAAGACATAGTGGCAAATTATACTCCTCGGTCTTCTGTATAATTTGCAGAAGGGTATGTTTGTGGTCTACGTTGCTAAAGCCTTTACGGAAACCGGCTTGTTCAAGAGGCTGGAAGTCGTCGAGTCAGCATGCGAGACGATTCGTAATGACTCTCGAAAACAGCACGTAGACGCGGCTCAGAAGGGAATTCGGTCTGCAGTTCTTCAAGAGAGCGTTGTCGCTTTTCTTGAAGAACAAGACCACCGCACTTCTACTCCACGCCTCCGGAATAGTGCCACCATGGAGGACGGAATTAAAGAGCTTCTGAAGGACTTTAAGTACCGGTTTTCCACTCGATTTCAGAAGCTCCGCTGTAATTCATCCTCGCCCGGGGACTTGCCGTTTTTAAGGTGCTGGAGAGCCATTCTTATCTCGCTCAGACTGACGTCCGGGATATCATCGGAATAGTGTCGGATAAGACTCGATCTTGGATCGTTACTCACATTTGCGTGTGGCTCCAACGATTACGTATAGGTACAGTATAGTAGAATTGAGAGGAGGCCTGTGCCCAGCAGTGGGACGTATATACGACTGTTTACTTTACTTTACTTTTTGTAATTCGTAATGCAGAAAGGAGATCGTTACTGAAGACTACTATCTAAGATTTATTAATTTATTTTAATTGTAGGTTAAGAACAGCGAAGGATTGGTGATAGAAGGTGTGAAACACCCTCTGCAGAATACGTGGAGCTTTTGGATGTTCACGAACAAGAATAAAAGCTGGGAGCAGAACCTAGTGAAGTTGGCTACATTTGACACTGTTGAAGACTATTGGTGGTATGTGAAGAGTTTTTTCACACTTCATAACCCTTATGTTAGTTTTGAATGTGTTTCAGGTAAAAGTTTTAAATTTGTCATGGTTATAATGTGCGGTAATCATAGGTAATAAAAAAATAAAAATAAAAAAAAGAGACGCGATCCAAAAGTATTGGCATAGAGTATAGTAAGTTGAACGACGGTTACAGCTTCATATGATATTTATTTTTCAACATAATTTCCTAACTGGTCCATAATTTTATAATCATCTGCCCATAATAAGTCCACGGCTGAACATAGGCTTCCCCAAAGGAATGCCACAAGGCACGGTCCAAGCAAGCACAAGCAAGCTTCCTGCAACTTTTGCCAGTTCGTCACTCCATCTGGTGGAGGGCCGCCCTGCAGTTCGCTTACCGGTATGGGACTGCCATTCGAGAATCTTTGTCGGTTGTTGCTCCTTCAAGCTACATGGCCAGTCCAATGCCATTTCAGCTTACTGATTCGTTGGGCTATGTCGCAGCTAATTTGTTCTACAGCGGATTATTTCATAATCTATCACGCAGAAAAACTACGAGCATAGCCTTCTCCATAGGTCGCTGAACGACATTGAGCTACCTTATACGGCCAGCAGTAACCTTGTCTCAGATCTATACGTTTATCACAGGCAACACAGACTCTTCTTTACAAGTTTTGGGGTACGATGTGTCGTAATCTCTCGAACCCTACCCAGAACTGTATTGCAATATTCTACGCACTGAAAACGATTATGTGATTCGTGCTGAAAGTCTTGAAGGCTTTAGATTAGAGTATGAGGGGGCGAAGCGTTGACTTTATTAGATGTAGACATCTCTAACTTAACATTAAGTTTTAGTCTGCCTCTCATGATTCCCTGATCTCTACGGGTTTTCACCCACGCGGTTACTGAGACATCACTGAACAGTTGTCTTGATGTCATAATGAAGCGAACTTCAAAATGAACTAAACGGAGGGTTCTGTTGCCATATTCCAAATTTCCCTTCAGCTCACCGTTCTCTTTTGCTTTCTGTTGAAGCTTCCCGTCAACACTGTATAGTGGGCATTGGAAAAATGCATGGTTCTAGGGATATCCTCATACATCTCGTCCACCTCCTCATCGGGATGTGCCTAGGTTGATACGTAAACATGTATGAACATCAACCAATACCGTTTTGTCGATATATTTAGACAAGCCTTCTTGTAAACCCTGTTTTTCTTACAAAAATATTTACCTTATTCTTCCAAAAATGCATCTATCATCAAGTTTGTTGTCCTACAACTGTTTCTTGGACCGAGGAAAACGGTAAAGTCACTGGGAGCTAGATTAGGACAATGGAATGGATGGATGTTCAAGCAGTTTGATGCGTGCATTGTATGATACCCACTGCAAATTCAGTTTCGTGTTCCTATTTATATCATTATTTCCAAAATACTCTAAACGGTACTCAATTTTAAGATGCGGTTAAGTCTCGTGCTATCTCTATCACTTTAAGTTAAAGTGACTGTAACGCCATGATAATTAACGCCATCTTACGATTAATACTCGACCAACTTATAAAATGCACTTGGATTAGTAAAAATTTCGTTACAATTCCATATAAGTATGAATGAAAAAAATATATAAATAAAATTAACACTTAAATACATAGGACCTATAATACCCTTTGACACAAAAAAAGAATTTTCCAAATCGGTTCAGGTTCTTCGAGTAATCGGTGAACATACATAAAAAAAAAAAGATTCCGACGAATTGAGAACCTTTCCTCCTTTTTGAAGTCGGTTGTAAATTGAGTAGTGTTTGCGATGTAAAGTTTCTAGATTATTAAGTTTTTCAATTTAAAGGTGATACGATTATCCTAACATTTACGTGGTAGAGACAAAATTAATAGTATAGTTGTAGCACGAATGAGTCGGCTCGACCGGGGAAAGAACACGCTCTCACAGAATACCAGCGTAAAGTAGCAGCTTAATGCTGCTGTGTTTCGTATGGTGAGTGTAGAGAACCTTAGGCCCTTTTTACTTTAACAGAGGCATTCTATCTTAGTCCTCACGGCTGACAACTGCATCTGCATTTTAATTCGCAAACGATGATAGATATAGATGTCTATGGACCACAGCAACCACTTACCATCAGGTGGACTGTGTGCTCGTTTCTCACCATTATTATATAAAAAAAAACCTTTGAATTACATTATATGTAGTTCCGAGGAAAAATTTCTCTGGGACCATTTACCATTTAGACCATAAAAAATCTATTTACAGTCTCTATCATCACATGAAAACTCCGTCAGAGTTGGAGTTCGGTCAAGATTACTCTATATTCAAGGAGGGTATCCGGCCGATGTGGGAGGACGACGCGAACAGACATGGTGGCAGGTGGCTGATTGGCTTTGACAGGAAAAACAGTCCCTATCTTGATAATATTTGGTTGTTTACGGTAAGTATAGTTATTTTAAGATCACGTAGCTTAGTGCTCACAGCAACTAACTATTAAATGAATGAATGAATAAATTATTGATTCATATAAGGTCCACAGATTTGTTAGTAACAATTGTAATTTGAATAAAACTAATTTTACGGATTTTATCGCGTATATTAACTTATTTTTATATTCCCGACGTTGGTGGTCACGGTGGTGCTGGAAAGCACCCGAAACGTCGGGAATATAAAAATAAGTTAATATACGCGATAAAATCCATAAAATTAGTTTTATTTAAAAATGTGTAGTGTTCGCGTAAATATAAGAAATCAGTAATTGTAATTTGTATAATAAGCCTATCCCATGCTAGTAAAAAGAGTTCCATTTGTTGGCAAATACGCTCAGGATGCTGTTTGTGGTGGAGCGAAAGCGATTTAGTTGAGAAGCGCACAGCAAAGCAAACAGTCTGTGTGCGCATTCCGCAAACATTGCAGGCTCCATAGATAAAATAAAAGAATATATTTCTATGGTAGACACACTGCAAAGGCGTGGGAGCCTTAGCAGCAACCTGAACGCATTATTATATTGAACCCTTAGGACGTTAAATGCGTTTAAAACGTGTTAGAGGCATGCTACAGCTATATTAGTAGTATAGTTGTAGCATGAATGGGTCGGTTCAATTGCAGTTTAACGCTGCTGTGTTTCGTATAGTGAGGGTAAAGAACCGGAGACCCCATTTACTGGAAACGAGGCAGGCATTGAATCTTAGTCCTCACGGGTGACAACGCATCTGCATTTTGATTTGTAGTTGAGGATACATGTACATCTCCACAGCAACTATTTACCATCAGGTGGATTGTGTGGTGTGCTCGTTTGACTAAACCCTTATCCAATAACAAATATATCATAACAACTTAACTGCCCAAACTCACTCTCTATTCTATCCAAGGTTGGCTGGTAGAGAATGTCATATTTATTTATTTATTTTATTTATTATATTAAAGAATAAAATAAATAAATAAAAATGCTCTCTGTGTAAAGTTCACCCAAAGGCTGCACGTATAAAAGGACTGGCAATAGGCTTTGAAGGAAAGGGAGGAGAAGAAGGGAAGCGTCGCTTAACTATTAGGGTTTAGGTTCTGGGTTCAGATAAAGTTGAATGTAGAGTCTAGACGTGTTGTAATTATATTCTGGTTCTAGGGTAAATTGAAATTTTAATGACCTTTGAGCGTACTGTAGAGATAACCAACCATTTCGCCACCTTCCCATTTTAATGTTGATCCTTTACCATTTGCTTAATTTATACATTCTATTATCTATTATAGCTTAGATTTATAGAAGAGTCTACGACAGTGAAATTGTTATTAATTATTTACGATTTTATTATTTAGTAGAGTTTATTAATTACGATTAACAGCAACTACTATAGTAGAAAAATCTGTTGTAACTTTTATTTTAAATGTACATATTTTTGTAATTAAAACACAATTCTTTCCTGCATAATTTTATCAGAACGCAGGATTATGACTGTTCTTATCCTCCACCTCCATATTTAATTTAAGTGGACGACGAATAGACTTACTTTTACCAGAGAAAATATTACAAATTGATTGTGATATTATTTGTTGGAATCCAACAACTAGTTTAGTTTACGGGTGTAGCTACATAGAAACCGACTTACCTACATATTATTATTATAAATAATAATATAATAATTATCATTAATTATCATATATGTATTGTCGATTTCTTTCCCTTTCCCTTTAACCCTGGACCGTTTGGTCTCCCCTACCGAGGACTTACATCAGGTTGGATTTTTATTTATTTATTTACTCATTTATCATCTATTTATTTTACAATATTTTATGTTCAACATACAGTTTATTTCATATTATTTACCATTTTTATATGTATTTATACAGTCCACCCAGATGAGAATACTATTTAATAAACCCCACAATATCAATTAATTACCCTTCTTTTTGGCTCCGCCACAGGTGCACAAAAAATAAGAACTTGACGTTCTAAGAACTAAGAAGATCGGATAAGAATGGGGCGACCGACCCATATATATGTATATATTACACAAACCATTTCAAGCCACATTCGAACCTCCATTTATTCGAAAACGTTTATACTTACACTCTTGCAATTTTACATTCCTAGTAAGTAAATCCCTTTAAAGACCTAGAATTATAATGAATCTATTATAGTTCTTGAGTAATTAAAGTTTGAAAAGTGCCATTTTTATCACTCACTGACTAATTCATCAAAACCTAAGCCGTTTCTATATTACTTTGAAACTTGGAAAGGTAGATCATTAGACGTATACAAAGAAAATAATCCGAAAACCAAAAGCTTATCGATTGGGTTTCCAAAAAGATTTGACCTACGTGGATGTTGTGGTTCATAGACATCTACATCTATCCTCGATTAAGAATCACAACGCTGATGTGTTGTAACCCCTCAAGAATCAAGATTAAGATGATATGCCTAGTATCCAGTAAAAATTATCCTGTTCTTTATATGAATCACACGAAACGCAGCAGCACTAAGCTGCTATTTTACGCTGGTATTCTATAAAAGCGTGGCCCTTCCCCGGTCGAACCGACCCATTCTTGCTGCAACCATAATTTACCACGTAAACTTTAGTTAAAACTAACCACACTCATTTTGTTGGCATTTAATTATTATCCATTTATTTCTTTCTAACATAATTGTAACATCATTCTTAGTTTTATCAGGCCTGTCTCACTCCGCGCTTTAGGCATGACAATATACCTACGCCGCCCGGCCGTCTACATGAGGCTAATTCCGTGAGGTTGTCACGCGCGCGCTCGAGCTGACGCGCGCTTTACGTTAACATAAAAAAATATCTTTTTTTTTTACAAAAAACGTTACCCTACACTAGGATTTTCTCTTGTATTGTGGAGGCAGTTTACAAACACAAATTGCACAAGGACAAACAGACCCTGAACAATTATTTGTAGGCCATACAAATACTTGTTCCGTGCGGGATTCGAACCCGCGGCCTTCAGCGCAGCAACTTATGGTTACGGACTATACTATGGTTATACTATGGTTACGGACACTGCGCCACGGAGCCAACGTACGTAACGGAACGTTTTTTTTTAACAAAATAAAAAAATAAATAAAAGAAATACTAATACATTGCATTACACCTCGGGGCTAAGTGATACAGACACTCGCATGCGAACGTAAGGTGCATTTTGTATTAATACGCGCGCCACATAATTTTTTTTTGACGAGATAAATGGTAGGCTAATTTCACGAAGGTCACTTCCGAGGCGTGCTTAACTCACCCGGGAGGGCGAGGTAGAGTGGATAAAATTTAACTTCGCTCTATAATGAACATATGCTGATAGAAAAAAGTGCGCCATTAATCTTGCCCATTTTTCCATCATCATCATCATTACAGCCCTTCACAAGTCCACTGCTGAACATAGGCCTCCCCCAAAGAATGCCACAAAGCACGGTCCTGAGCCACCTGCATCCATCGACTTCCTGCATATTTTACCAGGTCGTCACTCCATCTAGTGGGGGGACGCCCTACACTTCGCCTGCCGGTACGAGGCTGCCACTCGAGAACCTTTCTTCCCCATCGGTTGTCGGTTCTTCGAGCTATATGGCCGGTCCATTACCACTTCAGCTTACTAATCCGTTGGGTTATGTCGGTCACTCTGGTTCTACTGCGGATATCCTCATTTCTGAATTTATCACGCAGAGAAACTCCGAGCATAGCCCTCTCCATAGCTCGCTGAGCGACCTTGAGCTTCCTCATCCGGCCAGCAGTGAAGGACCACGTCTCAGTTCCATATGTCATAACTGGCAACACGCACTGGGTGTACAGTCTCGTTTTCAAGTTTTGAGGTATACCTAACGAGAAGATGTGCCGTAATTTCCCGAACGCTGCCCAACCGAGTTGAATCCGTCGATTGACCTCTCGGTCGAAGTTGGACTTACCTAGTCGGACTATTTGTCCCAGGTAAACATACTCGTCAACAACTTCGAGCTTAGTGTTCCCAACAACTACCGGCATAGGTGTGACATGGACATTAAACATGATCTTTGTTTTGTCCATGTTCATCTTAAGACCTATCCGTTGGGAAACACTATTGAGGTCATTGAGCATAGTGCTTAGGTCCTCCAGCGATTCTGCCATAAGGACTATATCGTCGGCAAATCGAAGGTGAGTGATGTACTCGCCATTGATGTTGATACCGTATCCTTTCCAGTCCAGAAGCTTGAAAACATCTTCCAATGCAGCGGTAAAGAGTTTCGGGGATATGACGTCACCCTGTCTTACACCTCTCTGCAATTGGATAGGTTTCGTACTCTGGTTCTGTACTCGGATAGCCATCGTAGCCCTATTGTACAAGCACTTCAACACTTCGACATACCGACAGTCAACTTAGCATCGCTGAAGGGACTGCAGCACAGCCCAAATTTCGAAGGAATCAAAGGCTTTCTCATAGTCCACATACGCCAGACATAGTGGCAAATTGTACTCCTCGGACTTCTGTACAATTTGCCGAAGGGTATGTATGTGGTCTATGGTCCAAAAGCCTTTACGGAAACCGGCTTGTTCGGGAGGCTGGAAGTCGTCAAGTCTGCGTGCGAGACGATTCGTAATGACTCTCAAAAACAGCACGTAGACGCGGCTCAGAAGGGTAATCGGTCTGTAGTTCTTCAAGATAGCATTGTCGCCTTTCTTGAAGAACAAGACCACCGCACTTCTGCTCCACGCCTCCGGTGTAATGCCACCATGGAGGACGGAATTAAAGAGCTTCTGAAGGACTTCAAGTACCGGTTTTCCACCCACTTTCAGAAGCTCCGCTGTAATTCCATCCTCGCCTGGGGCCTTGCCGTTTTTAAGGTGCTGGAGAGCCATTCTAATCTCGCTCAGACTGACGTCCGGGATATCATCGGAATAATGTCGGATAAGATTCGCTCTTGGATCGTTACTCACACTTGCGTGCGGCTCCAACGATGACGTGTACAGCTGCCCATAGAACCTCTCAATCTCACTCAAAATCTCAGGTGCCCCGGAAACGATGCTGCCACATTCGGTCTTCAGCTTTGACAGTTGGCTCTTTCTGGTAGACAGATCTATGGCAAAGACTTTGGAGCCTTGGTTCTGCTCGATCGCTTCTTCAATACGAGCTGTATTGAAGTTGCGTAAGTCCTGCCGCATGCATTTGGAGATCTGTCTGTTCAGTTGCCTGTATGCTGTCAAATCTGTTGAAGAATTTAGCTTCATCTCCCGTCTAACAACCAAGAGATTAAGAGCGTGATCGGAGAGTTTTTGTGTTCTTCTGCGGCGGGTCTTGCAGAACTTAGCTCCAACCGCATGGACAGTTTCCGCGAGCTTGTCATTCATATCGTCCACTTCATTGCAGTCTTCTAGGCACTGAAAACGGTTTCGTAACTCGAGCTGAAAGGTTTCGGGACTTTGGATTAGAGCAAGAGGGGGACGGAGCGTTGACTTCATTAGACGAGACCTCTCCAACTTAACGTTTAGGTTCAGTGTGCCTCTAACCATTCGGTGATCGCTGCCGGCTTTCACCCTCGCGATCACTGAGACATCACTGAACAGTTGTCGTCTGGTCGTCATAATAAAGTCAATCTCATTTTTTGCCGAACCGTCGGGGCTCGACCAGGTCCACTTCCTGTGGGGCCGCTTCTGGAAGAAAGAGTTCACCATAAAGAGTCCCTCTTTCTCCATGAAGTCGGCCAGCTGCTGGCCCCTTGGGTTCCGTTGCCCTATTCCAAATTTTCCTACTTTCAGCTCACCGTTCTCTCTTGTGCCTAGTTTTGCATTGAAGTCTCCCATTAACACCGTATATTGGGTTTTGGAGGAATGCATGGCTCTAGAGATATCCTCATACATTTCCTCCACCTCCTGATCGGGGTGTGCCGAGGTTGGCGCGTAAACCTGTATGACCTTCAGCGAATACCGTTTGGTGATTCTGAGTATAAGGTACGCAACCCTCGTCGACACACTCTCAATCTTTACAACGTTGTTAACGAGAGACTTGTGGACGATAAATCCGACACCTCCTTGGGACAGATTGTCGCCCTCCCGATAATAGAGCAAGTTGCCGGATTCGAGGATTACCGTGTCCTCCCCCTCTCTTCGGACTTCGGATAATCCTATAATATGCCAGCGTAACTTGTCTATCTCTTCTTCCAGCTCCACAATCTTCTCGTCAGTCCTCAGGGTGCGTGCGTTGTATGTTGCCAGGTCGAGTCGTCGCAGGTGGCAACCGAACCTCCACCGGAGATTCTTAGCACCCCCTGCCCCGCCGTTACCATGGTCGCCACCGTAGTCAGGAATAGCGGGGCCGCCGGGGACTGGGGGCCGTCTCTTCGTAACTTTCATCATGGGGGGTATATTACCATAGTTGCCACGCTTGGCGAGCGGGTTGGCAACCGCAGTTTTTTATTGTACTTCCTGGTAACGGCAAAACCGTTACCAGGAAGATGCTGCTGCCCATCTCATGCCCGTATCCCTTTGTCGCCTTTTACGACACCCACGGGAAGATATGGGGTAGTGGATATTCTTAACCGCCACTACACGGCGGTTAAGAATATCCACTACCCCCACCTATTTTTCCATACTATCTAGAAATCTAGAATGCTTGAACTATATGCTGGAATTATCAATTTCATCTGACTTCATGTAAATATGTCAAAATCCTGCGAGATAATATTTTATTTTAAAATGTTTATTGCGATCCCTTAAGAAAAAAAGAATACAAAGGGCGGACTTATTGCCAGACCAGTCAACCCATGATGCAGTATGAGTTAAAATTATACGCATGTACCTAACGGAAGCATTATTATCATGTCATGACGCAAATGCATGACGTGATTGCAACTAAACAATATTACTTACCTATTACTTTAGTATTTTAATATTATTATAATTGTCTTTTATTCTCGCATTCAATAAATGGACCTGAACGAGTAAAGTATCTTTCAATCGCTACACCAACGACCCTAATATTGCAATGGAAAGTAAAATACGGAATAACCTCTTTTTAGATGCAAAGGATGAGAGAGATGGAATGCCTTGTTTCAGTAAAAAGGGTCTTCGGTTCTGTACACTCACAGCATAGAGCTGCTATTTTACGCTGGTACGCTGCGGGAGTGTGGTTCTGCCTCCGTCGAGTCAATCCATCCGCGCTAAAACCATAATATTTTATTGCCTGGTCAGCGGGGTAACTGTTAATACTTGTTATAATAAGCTACCATTTTGAATATTTTGTAGGTTCTCCTGCTCATAGGAGAAACCTTAGAAAATGCCGATGAAATATGCGGCGTCGTAGTCAGCGTTCGAGCGAAATGTAAAATAGGTAAGTAGCAACAAATCTACTTACGCCATACTTATTACCTTTTATTTACATGGGAAAACGCCTACTTAAACTCGAGCTCGACTCGCGGAGCAAGGACGGGTTGGCCGCGGGAACGCTTTCGCACACGCATGAAGTGACCTTCATGTCGGGTGGTGTGCCAAAGCGTCTCTTCAAACGGGTTGAACCCGGTCACCCACTCGGTCATCTGAGGCGACTGGGACTACGTGACGGACTGCTTCGGGCTTAAATGTAAATAGCAGTGATCCTGCTGTTCGATGCCGCCATCGCGTCGTCCGCTGATTTCTTTCCGGTTCTTCCCTCTTATCCCTTGGCAGTGTTTGTAGTATGTTATTATAATGTTTATATATTTTTGTATTATTTAATTCATAGTAAGTACACTAATACTCAAAGTTCAATTCCCTGTGCTAGCACCACAATAACATTAGATTGTAAAGTGCGCGGCGGTAAATGTATCTGATATTATAAGATGTATCTTATAATAGACATGAGAAAATCGCCCATGTATCTAGGTATCTTTTGCATATTAATTTAATAATAAATCTTAACGTTTTCAGGCATTTGGGTCAAGAATGCTGGAAATGAAAAAGCAGTCTTAGAGATTGGCAATCGGCTGAAGAGTCAACTTGGATTAGACGCAAAAATCAAGTTTCATAATCATAACAGAGTGCATAATATTTATACTATATAACTTTAAGTTGATTATAGTATACACATACCATACCTACATACATATGTACATATCTACGTATATACACCTGGACACTATATTTTCTAATATCGATTTGAGAACATATCGTTAGGAATGTTTAGGCTGAAAAAAATGGCAGTGAAACATACTAAGTAAATATTTTATACAACAGCACTATCGATGAACGTCTATTTGTATTTGATGTTATATAGCCTATAAGGGAATTTCATTAATGTTTAAGATTTTGAATATGGTCAGTAATATATATTTTAATGAAGATTATTGAAAGTTTCTTACCGCTGACAGTTGGCTCTTTTTTGGCTTAACTGCTTGATGATGAGATTAAGTAGGAGTTGATTCAATAAAAAAAAAATGTTAAAAATTAACGTAACTGTTTATTCATATAGTTTCTTTTATAACAAATTTATGTTTTATACATGTGAATCAAATCCAAGGTTGGATAAATGTACAATTTAATTAGATTTTTATATAAAAAACATCAAGGTTATTAATTGTAATAAACATTTAGAAGACAAAACTTGAAGTTTATAAAATGGTGCACGTTCTGGAGTTTGTGTGGTTCCTAATCTCGATTTCCACTCTTTCTTCCACCTTAGTTACAGTTTCTTCTGTGTTATCCAACCCTTTGTGAATATTTTCTATAAAAACAACGTAAACATTACATAAAGAAGTATGACAAGCAAACACCGTATGTACTATCGGATGGTAAGTGGATGCTGTGGCCCACAGGCATAATGTGTAATGATAATGTTCTCCAATGCGAATTTCGGTCACGCCGGCCAGTCTCAACTGAGCTAGCCAACTGCGCAGGACAGGATGATAGAGTCCGAGTCTATGCACAAGCAGAAGTGCACTCTCATAGTCGATGGGACGGCAAATCAACACGACCGGAGAGTCTGATACACACGACTAACGAATTTACGTACTTTCCGAGACACGGGCGTGCAACATTGCGCAATTTCCTGACTTCGGGCTGCTACTGACAATTTCTTGACAGGAAAACCAGATTCGAACCCGGAACCCCGTGATCAGTAATCGCGTTTACAACCACTAAACCAATGAGGCAGTAGAATCTACCACTACAACTATGGGTATCAGAGATGATTGAGGAAATTGCCTGAAAATTCTAATTTTATACGCCAGCAGGGCTAGCATGGGCAGTAGGCGGAAAGAAGAAAATGTTTATCCCCTCGCTTAGTTTTATCCATCCTTCGAGCATGGGCACACCGGTGGATATAATATCCACAGTAGATAAAATGGGAGATAGTCTTAGACTTAGATAGATTTTTTGTATGAAACTTAAACCCACGTCCTAGGATAGAATTTTCAAATGTCAAAAAAGCATAATTTTTATCTTTAATTTGGCTGTATCTTGGGGATATATGTCTACTCGTTATGTCAAACGGGGATATACTTCTCCCCGTTGCCGTGCTTTGGCATAGGGACAAGATAATTTTATCTCTTGTCAGTGGATATAATCGGGGGATAAAATTTAGCCCATGCTAGCCGTGCAATTGTGAAATACGCAGACTAGTAACGCGAAACAGCGTCTCAAGTGCGAGACATCCGGTACTGCTATCGATAAGTCGCCCGCCAAGTGTGGTGTCTACTGCAAATCATCCATACAATGGGAGAGGTCTTTGTCCAGCAGTGGACTGGTAAAGAGCCGATGAAGTTAAGTAAAAAAATTCGGAGTGTAACTGTGTCGTGGACACTGCTGTGTATGTTTTACGTGCATGCAACGAAACGACCTCAAAATGGCGGCGCTCCCTACTCCGCCGCGCGCTATGCGTCACAGTCCTCAATCAACGTCATGAATTCTTTGATCCTTTAGCTATCGAGTGGTGTAATTAAGTTTTAGATGTAGGTGATAGATACAACACCAAACTGTATCCTCAGACTTAGTTATCATCAGTTTTTTGATATGCCTCCTAATATAAAGATAGTAGAAGATATATAAAAATAGTAGAAGTAGAAGTAGCTAGAGTAGATTCAGTAGTTGTATACATACCTACACGTATTTTGTGTCACTATTAGGTAGCTGCTAACATTAAATAAAATAAAATAAAATAAATATAATTTTGATTCGTACGTGTTTGATTCAATTATTTACTAAAAAGAAGTTTACAAGAACAATAAATGAAGACTGTGTGGCTAAATAGTCCGTTTACGTTGCTGTTGAGTCCTGGGACCTAAGTTCAAATCAAACCGATACGGCTGATTGAAAGATATTTCACAAGAAATATTCTACAAGTACACTTGTGCAATTTTCTTGCCTTTTTTCTAACCTTTTTGCCGTAATAGAATTCGGCTATGGAAATGCAGTCACCTAACTAATTTTTAAAGTAGAATTGATTTTAATAAATAACTAGCTGTGCCCCGCGACTTCGCTCGCGTGTTAGGGTTTTTATGTTTTTGCGCGGAACCCTAATTCTTTATCTAAAATAAAAGTAGCCTAAGTTACTCCTTATGAAATCAGCTATCTGCCAGTGAAAGTCCATCAAAATCGGTCGAGCCGTTTCGGAGATTAGCCGGAACAAACAGACAGACAGACAAAAATTAAAAAAATGTATTTTAGTTATAAGTACCGTATTTACTTCCATATGCATTTAGTAAAAAACTGTAATTTTGACATTACAAACAGACACTTCAATTTTATTTATTTGTATAGATTAAAAAAATAAGAGAGCACTTGCTGTAATATCTCCTTACTATGAGAGATCTATGTCCAGTGCAGTGATGCACTGTTTAGTCTAATGATGGAGCATTACACAAATTGAAACTTACCCACAACTTTTTCTTCTATAACTTTTCCTTTTCCCATGCAAGAGTTTTCCTTATCTCTAATAGATTGGAAGATACGTGCGAAGCGTCCTTTCTCCTCAAGTTTATGTACAACCACATCCGCTTCTTCGTTATTAGCAGTTTCATTGTGAGAGTCAATATGATCTTCACTCCTCACTATGGGCATTACTGCTTGTGTTTTAGCAGATTTTCCCGCTTGAGGACTAGATTTATCCGATCCACAGGGAATAGTTTCATTTTCCGACTGGCCAGTATCACTTTTTTGTCCATCATCACTATGTTTACTTATAGCTGGACTCATTTGACTTATGTCTGGTATATGGAGCAAATCCTGAATGATCGGTGTTTTTGGAGGCGGAGAATTGGCAATTTCTGCTGTTATATCCGGTATTCCAAGAGATTTTTTTTCATCAATGTGTAATGGATCCAATTTTACTTCTGTTTTTTGTATAATATCTTCAACTACTTCCATTTTCTTAATTGTGTCTTCCTTGAAGTCTTGAATAGTATTTTCGACTTTTTCTTTAGATATTTCAATTGATTTTTCAGCATTGCCAATGGCTTCTTTCATATCGGTTTCGATAGCTGCAATCGTACTTTTTATTCCACTATTCAAGGCTGAAAACGTTTCGCTATTGTCTTTGTTTATGTCCAGTATGCCGTGCGTACTTCCATTTTCGTCAAGGTCATTTATGTTTACAATGTGTGAACCACTGACATTCGCTTCTAGTGAGTCTATCGATCCGATTTCATCGTTATTATTTCCATTTATATTGTCTATATAATGTTCGTTGTTGTTAAGATTTGTGTTGTCATTTATTATCATATCTTCAGCTTTATTAAGTCCTGGTATTTTTTGTAACGGCGGTAGTTCAGTTAATGATAGTTTTTGTGTTTCTGCATGTACTGCATTAAACCCGTTGTTTGCAAAATCTTTGTACGTATCTTTAGTGGCTGTAATTAGAGTGTGGCATCCACCGCAAGCTACGTTGTCGACAATGTAACCATTCATGGCGGTGACCCGTTTAGGCGTGTATTGATTGGGAACTGCCTCGTTTGAGTTATTGGCGTCATTTTCCTCCTCCAAACATAGTTTGTTGTGTCGCGACTCGCCGCACGTGTAAAGTAGACCGTTATCTGTAATTAATTCGCAACATTGTTAAGCGAAACTTAGAATGTATTTTTACAATTTTATTGCTAATAATAGATCTATTCCTTAATAATATTAAGTTGAAATAAACTTTACGGACGTGCAAGTATAAATGCCAGTAATAAAAAAAATTATAACTGGCGAAAAATTATTCCCGCAATGTAGGGGAAAATAGATGTAATGATATAAAAGCTGAAAGTTCAAATTAGTGCAAATTAGTTCAAAGTTCAAATTAGTGCAAATTAGTTCAAAGTTCAAACTATGACAAATATCCCTTCAATAAAATCTATGGCGGAGGCCTATAATCAACAGTGGGTTTATGATGCATAAGCTGTAAGATGAGATGAATGAATGTAAAGTGAACAACCAACCTCTCATAAAAGAGAGGAGGTCTTGCCCAGAAATGGCTCATTATAGGATGATGATGTTTACTTTTTTTATAAGATGGTGTGACAAACGAGCACAAAGTTCACATGATGGTAAGTGGTTGCTGTGGCCCATAGACATCTACATCTATCCGCGTTTGCGAATCAAAATGCAGATGCGTTGTCACCCGTGAAGACTAAGATGGAATGCCTCTTTTCCAGTAAAAAGGGTCTCCGGTTCTCTACACTCACCATACGAAACACAGCAGTGTTAAGCTGCTATTTTACGCTGGTATTCTGTGAGAGCGTGGTTCTTCCCCGGTCGAGGTGACCCCTTCGTGCTACAACTATACCAGTAATATAGCTGCAGTATGGCTCTACCACGTATAAAAAGTCAGCTATTACCTTATTTTTTTAATTTTTGTATTGAAATAACAGAAAATAGAGATAATCTACAGATACTTTCTTGCCAAGGATACAAAAATACATTATATTGTATTTTTTTGCATTAGCGACAGAAAGCGCTACGTGACTGCTTCTTATATCTATGTAGTATGTGTGAGGCCGTTTTCCAGAAGTAATTTTTTTTTACTGGCCGATAAAAATAAATGTCATTTTACCTGTGACAAACGCAGTATGCATCGCACCGCAAGCGACTAGTTTCAGCTGATAACCGTCGAACATCTCCATGTCTATCTCGGTGGGTGTGGTGACATTTTCAACTCCCTCCGGCATCCCAAGCTGTCCTCTTTCGTTGGACCCAAAGGCCAGTATTCGACTTTCGTCCATAGATAATAGAAAAGTGTGGTTAGCACCGCAACAAGCGCTCTTGATAGGCACGTCTATTGGCAACACTTCCGGTGCGTAGATCGTAGAAGCTGTGTTGTGGATCCCAAGTTTCCCGTTTTCGTTGTCGCCGGTCATAAACACTGCTCCTTTAGCTGGAAAGTGACGATTTGGTAAAAGTAAGTAAATTTAATTATTACTACGCTGCTTTAACTTGATTTTAACGAAAACTAGGCAAAGAGGAGTTTAGTGATGTTTTTGAGAGCATTAGGCAAAATTGTGTCAAAAAATTTACTGTGGTAGAACCAGACTGCAACTTATAATGGTAGAGCCATATCATGCTGCCGCACAAAAAGGTTGGTTCGACCGAGGAAGGATCACGCTCTCACAGTAATAACAATATTATAATGATACTAGATCACCGGGTAAACGTTGTTTAGCCATATATATTATTTCTAAGAAATATGTTTTTTGGTTTAAAAATAGCGATTAAAAATAGGGGTTGAAAATTTTAAGTTTTATGTACTTTTCAATGCTAAATAATAATAAAATAAATTAAAAAAATTGTCAAAAAATATAAACAGTATTTAAGGGTGAGTCACCCTTATCATTTAAGGGTTTGAAAAATAGACTGGCCGATTCTCAGACTTAACCGATATGCACACAAAATTTCATACAAATCTGTTCAGCCGTTTCGGAGGAGTTTGGTAACAAACACCGCGACACGAGAATTTTATATATTAGATTACTGTAAGTATTTTGTGATAATGGCAGTATTAATGCGGCTGTGGTTTGTATGCTGAGTGACGACACTAAGACTTTTATTTGGCAATCAAGTATTCCATTCAAGTGATATGACGCATCTGCACTCAGATTCAAAATCGAGGATTGATTCAGGTGTTCCTATACCGCGGTATCCACTCACCATCAGGTTCACTGTGTACTCATTAGTACGTGTACCTGTTTGTTAGAATAAGGCTCAATAACTTAAGCATTCTTTTGTCCTGGTAAAAAAACTAGCTGGCGGAACTAGCGGTTAAAGAACGAAGGGGCTCTCCAGACAATAGCGAGGTTAGAAGAGAATTGTTGTGGTCTCTTTAAAATTATGGAAAACTTATCTGAATTTAGCAAAACACAAATGTTTAATTTATATTGCCACAGAACGGAATAGAGGCGAATTTATGTAACGAAATTGTACATAGTAAAATGAATTTTATGTTCATTGTGTAACGTGCAAAGTAAATATGAACAAAAAAAAGAAGTTGCGCGTCTTCCGTGGAATTCTCGAGAATTCTGCAGCTACTGTCGGCGCAGTCTGTGGAATCCGCGGGAAGTGGCACGATGGTGACGTTTACATTTCTTCCATAAATCATGAACCCAAATATTTCTTTTCCTTTTTCTGATATTCTTCGAATGAGCAATATGAAAATAATATCCAATCAATCATTCTTGTCAAATAAAAGATGTAGACTAAATAACTGAATAGTGTACACAGTGTTGAGGCTAATTCGCGCGCCTTCCCGTGCTACGAGGCGTAATGCACGCTTCCGTTCCATTCCATTCCACCGCAACTAAGGCTCAATTTACAGAGCCTTAGAAGTCAATTGTTCTTGTCTCTCTGACATTATGGAAAACTTATCTAACCTTGAACAATAATTGCTACGTCACTAGTTTGAACACAAGACGCCTAAGAGTTTGCGCTTACAATTATGTTTGGGAATATGTTCTGCGCGTCTAGTAACTGCAGGAAAAAATTCGGAAAAGACCATCATTCTTACCGGTAATGAAGACGGTGTGATAGTATCCGCACTCGACGAAGGCGATTTTCTCCATGAACTTGAGCTCGGTGAAGTTGGCGCAGTTCCGCGAGCCCTCGCCCAGCCCCAGTTGCCCCTCCGTGTTGGAACCGCACACGAACACACGACCGTCCTCTGTTTATGTTCATTTAATTAGAAATGAGAATTCATTTTTCATACATTTTACTAGATAGGACTCCTTTTCCGCCCAAGAATCCGTCTGGAATTTTTTTTATAGAATAAGGGTGACAAACGAGCGTACAGTCCACCTGATGGTAAGTGGTTGTTGTGGCCCATAGACATCTACATCTATCTTCATTTGCGAATTAAAATGCAGATGCGTTGTCGGCCGTGAGGACTAAGACGGAATGCCTCTTTTCCAGTAAAATAGATCTCCGGTTTTCTACACTCACCATACGAAACACAGCAGCATTAATCCGCTATTTTACGCTGGTATTCTGTGAGAGCGTTGTCTTTTCCCGATCGAGCCGACCCATTAGTGTTACAAACTGTACTATTAATATAGCTGCAGCATGGCTCTACCACGTAAAAACACCTAAACCTCCCTCTTGCCTAAACATTTTGCCGACAAATGTGTTTGGCGGCAAAATGTGCTGCTGCTGATGTGTTCCGATCTGAAAGGTATGGTTATACGCTGTGAGGGATTTCATCTTAGTCCTCAGAGGTGACAATGCATCTGTAGCGAGTTTTGCTTGAAGTGATACGTAGTAGAGCCATGTTATATAGTTGTAGCAAGAATTGGTCGGCTCGACCGGGGAAGGACCATGCTCTCACAAAATATCAGCGTGAGAGGCAGCTTAATGCTGCTATGTTTCGTATGGTGCGTGTAGAGAACCGGAGACCCTTTTTACTGGAAAAGAGACATTCCATCTTAGTCCTCACGGGTAACGACGCATCTGCATTTTGATTCTTTATTGAGGATAAATGTAGATGTCTATGGGTATTTAGATTCTTAATCGAGTATAGACGTAAATGTCTATGGGCCACTGCATCCAGTTACCACGAGGAAGACTGTGTGACTCGATTGTCACCCTTATTCTATAAAAAAACATGTGATGAAAAAGTGAGACAGTTTGCAAAATTGGTACAGACCTGTGAGAATGGCTGTATGGTTGCTGCCGGCTGACACCTGCTTAATGGGCACGGAGTCTAACTCCACGTACTGGGGCACGCTGCGCGGCTCCATGTCACCGCAGCCCAGCTGACCCTCCTCGTTGCAGCCAACGGTGTAAATTGCGTTGGTGTCTGGTGAAATTAAGTTTATTGAACACATTATTTTTAAACATGTTTTAGAGTTAGTTCATGCGACATTTTGGCACGACTGTTTTCCATTTTGGGAGTGACATCTGTTATTTAGATTAAATACAGTGCTGTTTTTAGTTAGTATATCATATCTAGTGTGTATTACGAATTTCACAATGGACAGAGAATTGGAGAACTGAACTGAATTCCGGAAAAAGAGTTTAAAAATGTTTTGATGATTGGATTATTCGTTGGAGAAAGTGTATCGTTTCTGAAGGAGTATATTTTGAAGGTGATAAAATAAACTTGGATGTATAACTAACATTTTGTGTATTATTGATCTTTTCCCGGTACTTTCTTGACAGAGTAGTAGAGACTGTAATTACTAGCTTTCTATAGCCTTGAAGTCAGAATACAATAAATGACAGATTGCTGCTTGGTGGTAGATACAAGTAAAAGAATGGTAATTACTTACCTAGATAGACTTCTAGACAGGAAATAAAACTGAGGAAAGAGGGTTCGAGGGGTTTAAATAGAACGAACACGGCATGTACACAGTGTAAAGTTTTTTATACAAATGAAATTCAAGCTTAACGATTCGAAATAAATAATTTGCCAGTATCTGTCTTTCAATCTGATTAAATTTTGGGTGTCTTTAAGTGTTGGTGTTTTTAAGTTAAAGTGAAAAGGCTTTTGTTATTTGTTGATTAAAAATAATTTTACGGATTTTATCACCTTTAACTTAAACATTAAAATTTTAACTTAAACATTATTATTTATAAGCTGAAGGGGTTAAAGCAATAGAATTGTTCGGACTAATTCCAGCCACTCAATTTCACCATCGCACGTCGCGACAAAACTCGCGTTACCATCCATACCATCTGGATGATTGGCGGTCTACCACTGTGCGATTTAAAAGAAGTTTTCTCCCTCACACAACTTCTTTGTGGAATCAATTACCACCAGCGAATTTTCCGAACCGATACGACTTAGGAACCTTCAAGAAAAGAGCTTACACGTTTCTAAAAGGCCGGCAACGCATCTGCAATTCCCCTGGTGTTGCGATTGTTCATGGGCGGCGGTAGTCACTTACCATCAGGTGAGCCGCATGCTCGTTTGCTATGCTATTCTATAAAAAAAAAAGAATGCCACACATTTCCCAAATCAGTTTCCCTGTGACCAAAGTTGCTGTTAAGCAACTGAAACGTTTAAAATTAAATATAGGTTAAATTAAACACGATTGGAACCGTAAATTTTAATATAGTAGTATTTATGTAAATAAAAAAAAAAACATTAGGCTTTTGCTAAAGTTAAATCAGTGCGCTTGACCATCTTCGGTAAATTTAAGTTGTATATCACTGGTTTAAAAACTGTGCAGTTTCAACCTGTAACGAAGATTGTGTGCGCGCGGCCGCATGCGACGAACATGGCACGGTGAGGCTTCAGCCACTTGACGCAGCTGGGCCGCGTCACCTCGTCCTTGTGACCCAGTCCCAGCTGGCCCCACGCGTTCCCACCGAACACGAACACACGTCCATTCTCTAAAGCACGTAACATTTTAAATGATTAGGTTGACGACGTATTACAACATATCCGCATTTTAATTCTTAATCGAGGATAGATGTTGACGTCTATGGGTCACAGCAACCACTTACCATTAGGTGGACTGGGTGCTCGTTTGTCACCTTATGCTATAAAAAAATTGCAAGTAGTCAATTTAAGTTGCCACCTGTTTTTATTAAATGACAATAGAAAAAGACACGTATAGAGTTAATTAATACTTAAGGAGACGATAATCAACGATTATAAGAAAGATCTTAAGGCCTAAAGCCTAAAGCTTAAATGTGGTAGCTCAGGAAAAGTCACCCACTTTACGAGTACAATGGATTGATTAATTTTTATACTAAACTATTCCTAAAAATCTCTTTCATACAACAGTTTGAGTTTGATGGATTATAGTGGAAATTGTTGGATTATAGTCGATATTTTAGAATGTAAAATATTTCAAATAATATCCATAAGTAAGTGTACATTAAATTTAATTAACATAAAGGTGCAGCACGTTTACGTTCTGCGGCTGCTTCAGTGTATGTTGGCCGCATTCAACATTAAATTAATTCTAAGACATGCCGGTATCCTTACGATGTTTTCTTTTATTGCCAAGCACATGGTAAATCCGCACTTAAAATGATTATAAATAACAATTTTATTAGTCCCGCAGAAATCAAACTCACGTTATTAGCGTACTATAAAATTTACGGCGCAAGTTTAACCCCTGAACTATTACGGTTCTATTCATAAATTAATTGTAGGGCCGACTTTTCAATCCTTAGTTAATATTTATACACATGATAAAAAGCAACATAAATAAATTGAAAATTACAGTAGTTTGAATAAAATCATTCAATTGTTTTACTTCTAAATTCAGTCAAGTTATAATTTATTCGATGGATAACTGTTACCTAACGATTGATAAATCGGTCTAAAGTTATATAGTATTTAATTTATATTATTAAATTAATATTTATAGTATTATATATTATAAATTCACATACTTTATTCATTTATTTATTATAGATTAAATATTATAACTAAATGAATAAAGTAAATGAATATAAACGAGAACTTTTATTACTTAATTAATGTTGACCGCACTTGAGCTTGAGTCACATAAAAGGTCAATTAAAAGCTTCATAAAGGTCACAGTCGCCGTAAATTATATTAAAGAAACAATTAATCATGTGGTAAAGATAAAATTTTCACTTTAACTGTGTTGTTATACTGAAAATAACAAATATAAAAAGCCATTAAAAATGAGCTTAGGTACCTCATGCCGCTTGGTTTAGATTTTACAGGACCCAAACAATTCGGGTTTAATCTTCGGATAAATGAAATTATTATATGCAATTTTAAGTGCTGATGTACCATGTTCGCGGTAGTAAAGAGATAGGGGAGAAACTTTTAGACGCGGTAGAGCCACGCTGCAGCTATATTATGGTTGTAGCACGAATGGTTCGGCTCCATCGGGGTGGGATCACGCTTTCACAGAATACCATCGTAAAATACCAGCTTAATGCTACTGTGTTTCATATGGTGAGTGTAGAGAACCGGAAACCTTTTTTACCGCAAACGAGGTATTCCATCTTATTCCTCACGGATGACAATACATCTGCATTTTGAATCTTAATCGAGGATAAATGTCACCTGATGGTAAGTGGATCCTGATGTCCATGGATCCTGATGTCTATGGACATCAGGACTCACTTACTATCAGGTGAACTGTGTGCTCGTTTGTCACCGTTATTCTATAAAAAAATTGCATGTCTAAGAAATAAAATTTCGAGGACATGTAACTACCGCTAACTGGAGCAGCTCCCCCATAGATTGCCTCATTTCATTGCCACGCTTGTCAGGTGGGTTAGTAACCGCACTTTTTTATTAATTTGAGCTGTTATGAAAAAGATGCTGCTGCCCATCACCTGTTTCAGTTTCCCTCTGTCGGCTCTTGGGACACCTACGGGACGATATGAGGTTGTCCCTACACGGTAGACACCGATGTTCGGAGCAACGTTAAGCTAAACTCCGCTTGTGGTTTTACAAAGACACGGCTTAATTTGATACACTTTTCTGCCGACTTCCATAAAGGAGACGGCACTCAATTCGACTGTATGTTTTTTTTATGTGTGTTACCTCATAACTTTTTACTCGGAGAACCGATTTCGATGATTCTTTTCTTATTTGAAAGCTGATACTTCTCGTGTGGTCCAATTTGATAAAGGGTAGACCAATAGTTTTTGAGTTATTCTTAATAACTTATATTGAAGTCGGCTGTACAAAATTTTAAATTTTAAATTATTAATTACAGTTATTTTTTTCCTGGCGGCTTAAAAATAAAAATGGGCTGTTTAAGAGTGCAACTAGTATTTATAGAGCCCTTATATATAAACCGTCTGCATTATGAAATAAATATTTTATATTGGTGTTGCCAACATGTTGACCCTCACAGTAGTAACCAAAATAATACACTATAATATTAACAATTTAGGTCGCTAGTTCATATCCGGCACTTATTATTACTATATTATTATTAAGAGTGACGTTAAATTAAACTCTGCTTGTGGAATTACGAATTAGCACGTTTGCGTTATGAAATAAATATATTATTATGTTGGTGTTGCTACAAACACCGTTGCACGGCAAAGTCAGCAAACTGGAGCAGCGTGGCGGTTTAATTATTCTTGTAAGAACTTACGGCATATCACAGCACTGTGCTCATCACCGCAGGAGATGGCGACGATAGGATCGTTCTTGATGAAGAAGTGACTGGGCTCGTTGTCGGCGAAGCGAGACTTGCCGAAGGTAAACACGGCCCCGGTATCTATTGAAATTAAATATTTTATAATCACGTATTTTTACAACTGTAGTTACCTGAACAATTAACACTGTTACTTATCTAAATTAATAACTTATTATCTTAATTATTAGCCGCTAAATTTCACCATCGCACATCGTGACAATACTTGTGACACCATCCATACCGTCTTAAAGATTTTTGGATTCTGCTACCACTAGCGACTTTTCGGGACCGATACGACTTAGGGACGTTCAAAAAGAGTCTACTCTTTTTAAAAGGTTGGCAACGCATCTGCTATTCCCGTGGTGATATAGTTCATGGACGGTGGTAGTTACTAGGGTTTCCGATTTCTCGAGGTTTTTTAGTTCTCGGGTGTCGAGACTTCTCGAGCCTGATTTCTCGGGTCTTCTCGGGTTGTCGAGAAAAAATAAAATACGTCTAAATTTTTGTTTAATTAATAAAAAGAGTCTTTAATTTAACTGTGTTTATTTTACATGAAAAAATCAACATAATTTTTAACAAAAAAAACAAGTTCTCAATAAAAAATCAGCTCAAAACAAAATTGCTAACTAAAAACAATCATACTTCTTCTCCTTATCATAACTAATCTCATCTCACTAATCTGTAATAAAAAACAAAATCTCTGTTAACAATCAGCTTAAAACAAACATCTTAACTAAAAACAATCATACTTCTTCTTATTATAACTAATCTCACTAATCTTTAATAAAAAACAAAATCTCTGTTAACAATCAGCTTAAAACAAACATCTTAACTAAAAACAATCATAATTTTTCTCATCATAACTAAAGATCACTCACTAATCTCACTATGTGGGTGGTATGGTATCACAATTTTTGGCAGTTTTAATGTAATTAAATAAGAGATATCTATCTACTATTAATACGAAAAATATAACTGTCTTTAAGCCTGCTTATTAATTCTTATGAAATATGCCTTAAGATAAACCAAAGCATTAATAGATTTATCAGACAGCCGGCTCCTAATCTTACTGACCACATTTCCCGATATGGAAAATACCCTTTCATTTTCTGTTGAAGTCGGCTTGACTGAAATTAATGCTTTGTATAGTGTTTCCAGATTAGGGGTCCTCTTGCCTGTTTTTTCAAATAGCAAAAACTCTTTTTTTATAATTGATTTGGAAAGCACCACAGCATTAGTTGATTCACCATTTCTCGAAACACCTTTTATTGCTCTCTCTAATTGAGCTGCAAAGCTGTCTTGTTCAGTTTCTGATTCGCTTACGCCTGCTTCGACAACTTCTGAATTATTTCCTGTCGAAGGTTCTGTAGTAGTGGGAACAGTGGGGTATAGACGATTGAATAAGTCTTCAGCGTATCCAATTAAAAATGTCTTGCTATTATCGGTAAAATAAGCACTCTTTTTGAGAATAAAATTATCGGGGCTGTTTAGGTAGCGTAGCAGCGATATTAGAGGTGTATTCCGACGATCTGATATTTTCATTTTAAGAGATTCTACTAACTGAAGAGCCAAAGGGTCGTCGATACTTTCTAATTGTTTTAGCAACACATCTGTTATAGCCTCTGCAGTTAGTAAATTGGCATCTTGTCTGCTCAATGCTTCAACTGCAAGTTTAGTTGGCGTCAATATCAACCGCAATTTTTGTAGCATAGGAATATTTTCCTCCTTCCATTTAAATGAGCTATCTAAATCAATCAAGGCTTTTTTAATGGAATTTTTTAACTTCAAGAAACGCTCAATCATTGTTAGCATTGAATTCCACCTAGTTCTGACATCCTGTAATAAGACTAGTTCGGCCCCGAATTCAGTCTTCACATGTTTTTGTAGTGTGATATTTCTAAGGGGACTCTTTCTGAAAAATCTTATGATCGAACGGGTCTCATTTAGCACTTTGTTTATGTCGTCAATAGGCTGCAATATAGATTCATCATCAGATTCTTCGTCATCGTTATCAGTGCTGGCTTCATCAGAGCTGCTGTGTTCATCGTCGCTAACAGGTGTGTTTCTTCTAGCAACTGTAGTTACTGTTTTTTTTTTGCAAAAGGTATCAAGAATAGCCAAATGGATGGCATGGTTTACACAGAGGACCATCTCACAGGGGCTCTCTCTGCCAAATTTTTTCATAACATTTGGCCCGTCGCTTGTTACGGCCAAGACATAATGCTCGAAGTTTACCCCAAAGTATTTCAAACGCTCCTCTACTATTTCTCTAACCTCTGCGGCACCGCATTTTCCGGGTATGTAAACTAGCCCCAAATTGTAAACTTTTGCCTCTGCTGTATGAACACAGACGCTAAAATATCGTCTGTTTCGTATGCTCGTCCACTCGTCAATTGTCACACTTAGCCGGTTTCCTGATGGTGATGTGCAAAGCTGAGAAAGCTCTTTTATCATCTCTTTCTCCTTTTCATCATAAAACTTCAATATTAGGTTCATAACTTCGGTTTGGGTCTTTGGAAGTTTATACCCCTTGGCAGCAAGTGATTCACGGATAAATTCACTATTAGTAATGCCTCTTATAGTAAAACCATCTTGGGCTGAAAGTTTAGCTAAAATTTCACCTAACGATTTTCTGGGTTGAACGTCAAATTTCAGTGTTTGCTGTACGTGCATAGTTTCAAAATCACTTCTTAATTTTTTTGGTGCCGTCACCCCGGAACTAGACGAACTGGTAGATGCTTCTTCTGTGTCCATTTTAACCTCGGTGGATCTTACATCAATTTTGTGTACATGAGCTAAATGCCTCACTAGTCCGCTTGTGTTTGATCCTTTACAGGCTATGGTTTTAGGACATTTTAGACATTGCGCATTTGAGGCGTCCTTATTTTTCTTGAAATATTTCCAAACTTTGGAAGTTTCCATTTTGGTTCATTAGTTGTAAAATCTATAACAAACAGTTCAAGAATTAGTAAGTATTTTAGTTTAGTACCTACAAAATAGCTGACGCAACAGTGGGGAGGCCTATGCCCAGCAGGGGGTTGATGTGGTTAGGTTAGGCTGATGATGATGATGAAAAAATAGCTGTGTCCTTTTGTATACTACGTTTGGTAGGATTGGTTGGATACGTTTTGTGTTATTTGTAGTAGATAAATTGCCATAAAACAACGTCTTAATATTATGTGTTTAGTTTAGAACTTTAGGCTTTTGTGGGATTATTACAACATCTGCAATACAAATGCAATTAATGAAATCGGTAAATATTTATGCACTAACAATTCTCTTATTTGATTAAAAACAAAAATATTATTTTGGTAATACAAAAGTACTTACAAAACAAAACCAACACTTGAACTATTTAAATAAATAATAACAATACTTACCTGTTTGTTCTGCGATTCTATTACTCGTGCGTCACTAAATAGTAAATACACTCACTATGCTGGGTTTATGATCCGACCGATCCGAACACGGCGGGAGTTGAAACACGAATGAACAAAATACAACTGAGGCCGCGTCGCGCTTGCGTTTGTCGGCAAAAACAAAGGATACCGACAGACACGAGCCGTGCTGTCAAAGGATGCCGCTGCCGCCTCGCATTTACAAAGAAAGCTAAGCGTAAAAATGTTTATTTAAACTTCTCGATGTCTCGACTTTTCTCGAGCTGAATTTCCCGGGTACGAGACCGACCGATTTCCCGGGAATTCCCGGGACGAGAATTCCCGGGAACAAACTCTAGTAGTTACTTATCATCAGACGATTCGCATACTCCTTTACCCCCTCTTATAAATATAAAAAATTTGTATTGAAAACTTGCACTTGTTTTACCGGTTATATTTATTTATTTAAAATAATCAAGCTGACAGTGTCATCAACTGGTACGAAAGTTTAGCGGTGAAATTTATTGCGCATAAGTCACGCTGATTGGCTTATTACACATAAGTCGCGCTGATTGGCTCGTGCGCATCGTTCGCACGCGTTGATTGGCTTCCCAGTCGCATTCGTGCAATTAAATTCGTGCGCGTCCCCTCCACGTTTCGTTCAATGCTAGACTTACATGCCGCGACTTGTACTGACCCAGCAGATGATAATGCCTTAAGATGAAACCAAATTGTTTAAATATTATTTATGTAAAGAATTACAGCAAAACAGAAGCAATTGTCAATCCTATAATCAATATACATAAATACATAAACACTCACGTCTGTCACCTAGAGGGGTAGGCAGAGACTACGGACTTCCATTTGGCACGATCCTGATACACCTCTTTCGCCTCCTCCACATCCATATACCTACGCATACATGCTTAAGGGTACTTTTAATTTGGCCCATTTTCAATATATCGCCAATGTGCTCGATAAACTTTCGCTTAAGGCGTCACGTTCCGACTCTACCCTTCACTTCTGCAACATAAATTTGCTTTGTCACTCTTCTCTCATTAATTTTTTCTACATGACTAAACCACCATAGCATTCCTTTCTTTAACCCTATTCACAACATCATCTTGCAAACCACACTCTTCTCTTATCACACCATTTCTCACCCTGTCATTCAGATTTAGCCCTAACATACTCCTTAATGACCGCATTTCTACAGCATTTAAAGTAGGAACTAACACAGCACTATGAATATAATCAATATTTGTTATTATATACAAAATGCTTAAGTTTTTTTCTTAAACATTTCCTGGACTACGCATGAAACTAATTTTTCATAATAATTAAAATTAGGGTATAGTATTAGGGTAAGAATTAAAAATAATGAAACATCCACATCATCAGAAATGGAAGTCGGGGCTATATTTTTCCATATACACCAATTCGTCTTAGTACTGATTTCAGAAGGTACCTAATTGAATGGAAATTATTTTATTCTTTTTGGAACGAAGTTCCTTATCGGACGGTACGGATTTGGTGGATAGGGGGGCTAGGCGACAAAAAGTGTAAGATTTTTCCGTCACGACCCCTTCTAACGTGTAAATAATATCCATCTCCCTCGCACTTTTTCCTATCTTGCCATGAAAGAAATATTATTTTATTTTAAAGGACGCTTCATTTTAATATACGTAGTATATTACTAGAGTCTATTAAATATATACAATAATAATATACTACGAAAGGAACTTCAATTCATTTATGTAACCCTTTTGAGTGGACTGTGTAGATATTACTAGATCGAACAACGAACAACTGGAATGTTATCTAAATACTTACATTAAAATTTTCACTCCCTATTTTCCACCCCTAGCGGCGGAATTTTTCTGTTAATCTCTAATATATTTGGGACCACAATTAAGTTTTTTCATGTTGTAACATTTTAGAACAAGTTTTGAACCTCCTGCTTCACACCATATGATAGCAAGTAGTATTCTGTGTCACACCAGTAACACATAATACTACTTGCTATCTCTAAGGATCAAGGTGGAATGCTTCACACCATGCCATACTGGTTCTACATATCAGTACTTTACAATAAAAAACAACAGTGGGTAGACAGTTGCTGGGCTCGTGGATGGCTGAACTTAGTGACACTCTTCCGTGCGCTTATGTAAATAAAATATAACGAAAGAATGTGTTCTAGTGAAATCCCATCAGTTATAATTATAGCATATTATGTAAATATAATGTGTAAAATCAAACCAGTTCCTTTTAAGTTAGCCGTTTCACTTTTCAACCTTTCCGATATGACGTCATTGCGAACGTTCTTTTAGCATAAAATTAACATATAGAAAGAAGGTTTGCGTTGGCGTTTGCTGAAACAGTGCTATAAGGGCGTTGTACTTTCTGGAAAAGAATATTGGAGTTTATTACTACAGGCGCACGAAATATCCGTTGACCTTGTGATAATGTTTCAACCCATAATCGGAGTTTAGATTGTTATCAAACGAAATTTAGTGAGACTTTCTTTCGCTGAATTACTTAAGGCGGTGGAAATAAAATATGAACAGTGGAATCGGAATTATGAGACTTAGCCGACTTAAAAAAAGAGGAGATAATCAATTTGGCGAGATTTTTTGGTATGCTACGTGATATCTTTGTCAATTGTATCGTGATATCTTTGTAAACCGATTTTAGGGTTATTTTTTAAATTAAAAACCGCGACCGAGGGCAGCCATCGCAGTCTACTTCACCTGAAAATGCCTCGTTAGAGGCGAAACACATGTAGTATTACCGACGGTGGTGTGTCTTTCCGAACCTAGTGGTGTTGGGTGTAGTGGTGATGTTGCCAGCTAGACTCATCCACTTTCCTCTAAACACTCACCTAAAACCCCTTAGATTAAAACAAAATCCCCTAAATCTTTGAAACTATCAGACGTCTGTTAACTTTTCGAATTCGTTTTTTTAATAAATAAATTATACAAAATAAATTAAAAATTTGTATATTACCATTATTTGTAATTTACGTTCGGTAAAAAATTAAATATTTGAAATAAATACATTAATTGCAATAAGCAAATAACTTTCCTAATTTATAAACAGTAAGTAATAAGTCATAAAAAATAATTTTTTCCTCTGATATTTACTAAAACATCTTTAGTTTCAAACGAGGACGTTTTTTTGTTAATAATCTATAAGCATGTTTTTAATTGTCAATGATAGTTTATTAATAAAATTTTTATAATTTATGTTTTGAACTTAAATCGTTCTTCTTTCATTTTTTTAAAGAACTTTGTAAATCCCCTTAACAAATCTTCTAAAAAATGTTTCCGCGAGATTTTCAAGCAAGCCGTCTAAAATCTACTAAATTTAGAGGAAAATCTGGGGGATTTTCCTCTGGGAACATTGAGTGGTGCTGGGATTAGTGGTGACGGGGATAGCGCACGTAATTGAGAGCCCTCAGGTGCTGTTCAAACTAGATAAGACGCATAATTTTATTTTTATACGCGGGTTTTTGCTTATTAATTTTTAACATCTTCAATGTTAATTTTCGTAATGTTTATTAACAATAGTGTTCATCAAGTAGTGTTCTTACAAATATACAACGCATATTAAATTAAAATTATTATAAAATCTTTTTAAAACAGTTACATCTATCATAAAATGCTAAAAGTAGTACCTATGTTTTGACTTATGTTACTAATAAGTTAAATAATATAAACAACTATTATTAATATGGTTTAATAACTATATTTATAAAATGCTCGGATTTTTTTTTTAGTATTTTTTTGTTATTCCATTTTAATAGTGTCATAACTTTTATATATAATAGTGATATCTATCAAAAATTTAAAAAATTATTAAGACTGGTCTGCCCGTTATGCAAATTGTTATTACTTTCATACAATTTTTATTGTTTAATTATAGAGGTTTTTTTTACATAAAATTTTTTTCTGAGCTGATACCTCTTTGCAATTGTGTTGTAAAGAGGTATCAGCTGAATGCTTAGGCCAGTCGGGATCAAATCAAAAAAGGTTGGGCTTGCGAATTTCTCACTGCAGACAGTCTCCGATTAGTACGATGCCAATCTCGTATGATACAACATCTCAAAAACATCAGCGTGTCTTTTTACTGCTAAAAGGAATCCGCTTACCCTGGTTTTTAATTTCCCGAATGTATATTTGGAGTACATTGACCGCCTTCAGATGTTAGGGGTTGAGATTTCTTCGAACCTCAACTATGGGCGGTTCCTTGAGCCCAGGGCAAAAGCAGCCGCAAGGAAACTAACTGTCCTTGCAAGGGTGCGGCGGTAAATCACGCTGGGGCAGCTTTTTACCATATATAAAGTGCAATTCCTGCCGTGCATGGAGTATTGCTGTCACATATGGGCTGGTCCTGCAAAATGCCACCTAGCAGCGTTGAAATCAGTAGAGCGACGTGCTAAAAGGCTCATTAGTAAACTTGATTTGGTTGAAACCAATCTTGTCAGCCTCGAGCACAGGCGCAGAGTAGCCAGTCTCTCGATATTCTATAAGAGGCATTTCGGTG